GATGAAAGAATAATGACATGGCCCCCTTTCTCACCTGACCTAAACCCTATTGAGAACTTATGAGCCCTTCTTCTATGGGAGATTTATGGTGAAGGAAAACAGAGCATCTCTCTGAACAGTGTCTGGGAGGCTATGGTTCCTGCTGCACAAAAAGTTGACTGTCAACAGCTCAAGAAACTGACAGACTCCATGAATGGAAGGCTTATGACTGTTATTGAAAAGAAGGGTGGCTGCAACTAACAAATGTTTATAGGAAACATACCACAGTAGTAATGGGAGACTTTTAACTGCCCTGATATCAACTGGGAAACAGACTTTGCAGCAAGTGGGAGATCGAACAGATTCCTAATTAACTTGGCTGACAACGTTGTTGTCCAAAAGGTAAAGGAGGGAACTAGAGGAAAAGCTATACTGGACCTAATTCTTACTAATAGAGAAGATGTGCTAGAGGGAGTGGAAGTTGACGGAACTTTGGGTGAAAGTGACCATATCATACTGGAATTCAATATAATGAAAACACAAGCAATAGAAAATAATCCAACCAGTGCCTTAAACTTTAAAAGAGCTGATTTTAACAAACTCAGAGAGACCCTAGGAAAGATTCCATGAATGAAAATCCTAAAGGGGAAAACAACTCAAGAAGCATGGGAAACTCTGAAAAATGCAATCATAAAAGCCCAGTCCAGCGCAATACCACTGAAAAATAAAAACAAATCCAAGAAAAAACCAGCATGGTTGCACAAACACTTATCTGATAAACTGAAAGACAAAAAGGACAAGTAAAAAAATGGAAAGAGTGGCACATAACTAGCATAGAGTATCAGCAGATAGCCCGAATCTGCGAAGATGAAATTAGGAAAGCAAAGGTTCAGAATGAACAAAGACTTGCAACAAAAGTGAAAGATACTTTTTAAAAAAAAGTTTCTTTCGACATATAAATAACAAGAAAAAAGTCCAGGAAACAGTAGGTCCCTTTAAAAGAAAAGATGGCAAGGAAGTAACAGGCAGTAGAGAGAAAGCAGAGCTGCTTAATTCATTCTTTGCATCAGTCTTCACGCAAAAAGAAATTATAGCCCAATGTACCAATAAAGCTACTGTAAAAGACAAACTAAAAATGAAAATAAGCAAGAAAATGGTAAGAGAACACCTACCCTGTTTCCCCGAAAAGACCTAACCGGAAAATAAGCCCTAGCATGATTTTTCAGGATGTTCATAATATAAACCTACCCCCAAAATAAGCCCCAGTTAAGATTGTCAGCAGATGGAGGCGTTTAGTACTGCATTTTCCCCAAAATAAGACCTAAACAGAAAATAAGCCATAATGTGTCTTTTGGAGCAAAAATTTATATAAGACCCAGTCTTATTTTGGGGGGGAACACGGTATCAGACCTTGATGAATATAAATCACTGGGACTTGACAGATTACATCCCAGATGTCAGGGTTCCGACCAATGACCTAATAAAAGCAGGACCCCCAAGCCATTTAGCAAGAAAAATCCAGTTGTTTATTAGGAGGGCCATGTTGGCACAAACTAAGTGAAGCCAACTCTGACTTCATCCAGTTTGTGCCTTGCCTCTGATCCTGTTGCCCACTTCCCCCAAGGTGTGTCATCAGTCACATTCCCCAATGAAGCAATTTTGCGGGTCATAGAAGTCACTCCCTCTGGCCATTGCAGGTCTCTGTGGAGATGGCCTTGACTTCGGATGGCTAGGATGTGTCTTGACTGAGGTGTAAATTTCATGGTGCAGCTGTGAGGCATTATTTCCCATCCCCCTGCCTATGGCAACTCGGGAGCAGGTCAGGAAAGCTTTGTGAGTTGACACCAGAGTTCTGAAGGAGCTGGCAGATGTTATCTCAGAACCATTGTACCATATCTTTCAAAAATCCTGGAATACTGGGGAATTATTTGAGGACTGGAAAAGAGCTGATGTGGTTTCCATCTTCAAAAAAGAAAAAAAAATGACTCAGGAAACTACAGACCAATCAGCCTAACATCAATACCTGGGAAGATACTGGAAAAGATCATAAAAGATCATAAAAAAACAGATTTGCGAACATCTAGAAATAAATAAAGTGAACTAAAACGCCAGCATGGGTTTGTTAAAAATAGATCATGCCAAACCAATCTTATTTCATTCTTTTTCAAAGTAACTAAATTAGTAGACCAGCAAAATGCTGTGGACATAGCATACTTAGACTTCACCAAGGCATTTGACAAGGTAGACCACAACCTACTTCTTGGGGATAGACAATATCACCACCAGATGGATTTGTAACTGGCTGACAAAAATCATACTCAAGAGTCGTCCTTGAGAAGACCCCAGAAGACAAGCTCAGGATCCAAAATGATCTTGACAGACTTGAACAATGAACCCTATCCAACAAAATGAAATTTAATGTGGAGAAAAGCAAGGTTTACACTTAGGCAGGAAAAAACAAAGATAAGTATAGATTAGACGAAACCCGGCTCAAAACAGTGAGAGGGATCTTGGAGTCCTAGTGGACGATCATTTAAACATGAGCCAGTAGTGGGTGGCAGCAGCCAAGAAAGTTAATACAATTCTTGGTTGTATAAACAGAAGCATACAATCAAAACCACATGAAGCAGTGGTGGTTTGCTACCGGTTCACACTGGATTGGGCGAACCGGTAGCGGTAATTTGGCCTGAGTCGGCAAATCGGTAGCGACCGCTGGCTGACCATGCCCCCGAACTAGTTGCCTGGTCACCGCCCGTTCACTCGCCTCACCCACCCACTCCGCCCAGTCACTCCTCATCTCCTGGGCAGCTTGCCTGCCTAAGCTGCCTTCCCAAGTTCCCATGTGGTGCCTGCGTGCCCTGCGCCCCAAATGAGCTGCCTCCTCCTGCCTACAGGTAAGTCGCATTAGCCCCCCCTCCCCGGAGCTTGCTGCGCCCTTGCCCACCGTCCCCACGGGGCTCTCGACCTTACCTTCCTCCCACGGCTGGTGGCAGAGGGGAAGGCAAGCCAGTGCCCATGGGGAACGTTGCTGTTAAGGAGGACCACTCCTCGGCCCCAACCATTTTTAAGCCCAGGCTATTGCAATAGCTTTTCACTCCAAGCAGTCCGGGATTGAAAACGCATGGCTGGGGCCGAGGAGTGGAACAAGCTATCTTCCAAAGCCCCTGAGGGCAGGACAAGAAGCAATGGATGGAAACTAATCAAGGAGAGAAGCAACCTGGAATTAAGGAGAAACTTCCTAACTATGACTATGGAGATTCTCAGTCATACAAGTCATAGTTGTCCCAAATATGCTTTTTCAACTAGACTTTCTGGTTTTTCTTTGAAGACGTTTTGTTTCTCCTCCAGGAAGCTTCTTCAGCTCTGAAGAATGAGGAATTCTTGGATGAAGAAGCTTCTTGGAGGAGAAGCAAAACGTCTTCAAAGAAAAACCAGAAAGTTCAGTTGCCTCTTGAAAAAGCATCTTTGGCATTCCTAACTGTGAAAACAATTAACTGGTGGCACAGAAGTTGCCTTCAGAAGTTGTGGGTGCTTCATCCCTGGAGGTTTTAAGAAAAGATTGCACAGCCACCTGTCTGAAATGATAGAGCCACCCTCTCACCCTAGCTCAGCTCTGCTGCACATGTGCGTGCACCTCCCCCCCCCGGTCAGCTGGTCTTCGGGTCTCTGCCGCAAATGCGTGGGAGGGGGCATGCGGGAGGGCTGCACGCGCATTGCATTTTGGGAGTGTGCGCACACGCGCATTGGTGCATGCATGCGTGCTTTGGCCACTCGGTCCGGAAAAGGTTAGCCATCACTGTGATAGAGGGTCCCCTGCTTGAGCTGAGGGTTGGACTAGAAGACCTTGAAGGTCCCTTCCAGCTCTACTCTGATTGATCTGATTGACTACCTATACCACAAACTAGCCCTTGGCAGAGCAGCTGTGAAGATCGTGTATGGATGCAAAATTTGATCTTGGAACATGCAGGAAAAATGCCTTTTTATGTTTTTGAACTTTTGTGATGGAGAAGATGACCAAGAATAGCATGGATAGCCAAGAAAAGAAACAAAACACCACGGAGTTCTTATTTGAGCCACAAATGATCAGATTATCATACTTTGAACACTTTATGTGAAGATCTATCTTTCTTCCATTTTTAATGCTGAGAAAGAGGGAAGAAGGGAGAGGACAAGCATCAGCGTGGTATGTGTGTGCGTGCGTGTATGTGCCGGGGGGGGGGGGTTTACACCCAAAAGGCCGGGTCAACCTGGGGAAGGTCAGTCCATCCAGCTGGTCTTTTAGTAGTTGCCATTGAGCTGAGGGCATCCATTCTGCTCTTCCTATCGTTTCTACCCTTTTCTCCAAAGTTGTTTCATGTCTTCTCACTTATCAATTGTGCTCATCAATTGTGAAGATGAAGATAATGTGCTTATTTCCAAACTCAAATTTCTTGGGATTCAGAAGTAAAACTGATTACCAAGGAATAGCAGCATTCTTAATCACTGCCATTTGGCAATTTTGCCCTGGGGAGAAGATTTTAGGGAGAACCTCCTTGGGCGATAGGATTGCAGCAATCTCGGGGTCCTCTGATTAGAGGGTCTCCCATAATTCCGCAGGCGGGGCTTTGCCGATCGGGGAATCCGGGGAATCGACGGCTCCCCTCGGAAAGCTGCTGGGGCTGAGAAGGGGGCTCCGGGCCTGTGGCAGGAGGCGTCGGCCCCCCTTCAAAGCTTTCAGCCGCGGAGGGCGGAGCAGACGCGAGGCCCGGCGCCGGGTTCCCCCCGCTGAAGCTCCGGCATCCCGCGCGCTTGATCGGCAGCCTCGGGACTGGCTCTGGGCCTCTTCCTTCGAAAGCAAGCGGGACTCGGCGCTCGGAGGGGCCCGGGCGAAGGGCGTCGCTTCCAGCGGGAGCCAGCGCCTCCAGGGACTGCCAGGCTCGGCGCCGGAGAGCCGCGCGAGAGAGGCCGGGCGGCGGGAGAGGTTCCCTCTGTTATTTCGGGCGGTGGGAGACGGGGGGGGGCTCCCTCCTGCTGCGGAGCTCCGGCGGGCGGTGCCGTGGCCGAATCCCGGGGCGGAGGGCAGCAGGGAGGCCGGGCTGGCCTGGAGGGCTCTGGAGCCGAGGGCGCGCAGCGTGAACGCCTCGGAACCCCTTCGGCGGAGCGCGGAGCTCCCGTCGGCCGCCCGGGGAAGCAGCTGGGGCTGGGGAGTCCCGGCTGGCCGTGGATTCCTCCGGGCGCCTCCTTTGTCTGAGGAAAGCAAGAGAAGGGGGAACCAACTGGGAAGGCTCGGATGGGAAATGAGGCCGTGGAAGCGATTTTTAACCGTTGCTGGTTACTGTGAATCGGTCTTGCGCCCATCCTGAAAGGTTCCTCCCCCGGGCGGGCTGTCAGAGATGTGGCTTCCGAGGCTCTTTCCTCGGGCGGGCCTATTTTCCAATGAAACAGATCGAGACAGGAAGATCATTTTATTAAATTTGAACCTTCTGCCCAAAACCGATTCTTTCGTTCAAAGAGGGAACCCAAAGACCAGCTCTCGGTCCCTTTGATCAAAGAAAATGCAAGAGAAGAGTTGATTGAACAGAGCAAAAATAACCCCTCCTTTGCACTGTAAATCAGGTACATGGAGTTAAACATTGCATGTGACAACACATATGTCCATTTAAATGAGGTCTGACAAAAGTGTGGGTGTAAAATTTGTTAGGGTTAGTCAAATTAAATACAAAATAACCATGTTAGTTAGCAAGTACAACAATACTACAAAGTCAATGTTGGTACTACAAAATCCATCCTTTGTAGCCCTCAGCCCAAAACATGAACCACTCTATCTAAATCACTGGTCACTGGTGAGAAAGAGCCCTTGCCTCAGATTTAGGTGCCTTGCTCCCCTGGAGAAATCATCATCTCGAAGGAGGTGGGCAGGGCTGTTTAATAAACAGCCCTGTTTATTAAATTAATTTAATTTAATAAAGAAGCTGTTTAATTTGCTGTGCAAACTCTCTCAGCCCTACATGCCCTTCCCCTAAAATTCCATAAAGGGAGGTGGCTGGAGTCAGTCTTTAAGCATCTTAAAGTCTTGCTTCAACAAGATAAGGCTGCATATAAATTTAATAAATCAATAAATAAGGCTCCCCGACTTCATTCCAAACTTTGCAAATGACACCAGACTCCCTGTTTCTTCCAAGATTTAACTGATGCTCCATGGCATTTAACCTGTTTCTGAGTACATGTTAAGCCATGGTTTTCACCAGTGTAGTTTACAGAATGAATCCCTATTAACTGGGTTTAAGGGATAAATTAAGTCATAAATTATGGGCTGTAAACTAAGAAGGCTGGTTTAATAATCCATGCATAAAACGAACACTTTGATTATGGTTAAGTTGGTAATAAAAAACCTCCAACTCCTTGAGATGCTTGTTTTCTGCACATGAGGAGCTAACAGGTCACAAAATAGTTGGCTATTTTCACATACCCTGCTCTGTTTCTGTCATCATTTTCTCAGTTTCTCTCTTACAAAAGGGTCAGGGGTTGTTTTTCCGCACCTGCCAGCTGGAGCTCAGGGGACCAGAGGGTTCTTTGTGTATGTGAATTATACCACTTCCTTTAATTGTATAAGTGCCTCCATATCCTGCTGTTTTCTTTAATCAGCATTAACATGAGTGGACTCTTTTTTTCAATTTTTTTCAAATTTTATTAAAGTTCGTTATACAATAAAAAGAAAAAAGAAACAAACACTCAGGAGCCTGAGTGGTGTAGGAGGCTAATGCCTCCTAAGGCAGCATTTAACATCCAGCTGCCTGCAATTACTGCGAGTTCAATTCTCCCCAGGCTCAAGGTTGACTCAGCCTTCCATCCTTTCTAAGGTGGGTAAATTGAGGCCCCGGTTTGTGGGGGCAATAAGCTGATTTTGTATAAATATACAAAAGTATGAAGGCTATTGCTTAACGCATTGTAAGCCGCCCTGAGTCTCCGGAGAAGGGCGGCATATAAATCAAATGAAAAAAAAAGGTAGAGAGATCAAAGAAGGAAAAAAAGAGGTGAAAAGAGAAAGACAAAAAGTAGTGACTTTTCCCAACTTTTTTCAGTGCAGTAACATAAAAAAAATTACATCTTCAATCTTTTTGTTTTACAATTACTATATATTTCAATCCATTTCTATAACAACAAAGTCATTCTACTTATCAAAACCTAAAATCAAAGTTTCAGTGTTTTCATTTTTGAACAAAAAGCCCAGAAGTGGTTGCCAGCGTGGACTTGCCTGTTTAGGCAACATTCCTAGTCCTCATTGTCCTTCTGTTCCAGGGCCTGTGAGGCTTTCCTCAAGTATGGAATTCAATGCAGGGCTTTCCAAAGTCATTGCTCGATGGTAACTTTTGCGTGGCCTCCTCCATTTTGCTTGCTCCTCTCTTACAGGTTGGGTGGCTGAGAGGGAGACCCCACGATGGAGGAGAGGAAGAAGAAGAGCCCCAAGGCTCACCTCAGCCAACCGGTGCCTGCAAGTGCACTGCGCAAGCTGCCTGGCCCGGCCAGTAAGAGTGCCTCTTTCTCGCTGGGGACACCACACCTCCCATCTCCGAGGCCAAGAGCCAAGTTTAAGAGGTCAGCATGAGGACGGGGAAGCCAAGTTTAAGAGCATGAGGACAGGGAAGTGCCCTCAGGAAGGCCTGAGGGCACTGAGCCAGGTGTTGGCATTCTGGCAGCACTTTCGGGAAGAGTTGGTAGAATCTGAGTCTCACATAGATGGGAGATTCGTTTATTTTCTGTCGCCGCTCCAGCTCATGTCAGAAGCTGTCTCAGAGTATCATAAAGCATTTGAACCAACCCCAGCAAATAAAAATGATAACAAAAGGCAACAGGGAAAAGCATTTGACTATTTAAAAAAAAATCAATAGTAAGAAACTGTATTAGAACTGTTTCAACCGGGGGGCAGCACGTGGTAGGAATCTGAGCTTGGAAAAGTAGCAGGGTCAGGGCTGGGATGAAACTTCAGAATTGGCAAAAACCGCTCAGAAGCCAATGAAACACTGCTCCAGTCTTGCCACTAAGAAAACTTCCTAGTCACGCTGATGAAGTCACCAGGAGACAACCTTGACTTGGGGGAGACTTTATTTATTAAAACACAGAGCTAGAGCCCTTCCTCACATAAGTGTTTGTGATACCCGAAGGGGCTCCGTTTGCATTTTAAACTGTTTTGTGTGTCGCACTTGAGTTCTTGGCTTAGTGATGGGGGATGCCAGCATAATCTACTCTGGATCTCTCTTTTTTTTAAAAGTTTTTTATTTTTTAGACAAACAAACATTTAATACATCAGTTTTCTCTTCCCTGTGACATCTCAGTGTTATCTTCCACAGTTCTTTCTTCATCTGTATAGTTGTCATTACTTCTATCTTGATCCTCGTCCACAATATCAATTCGTCACTAACATAATATTCTACTCATCACATATTTTTACATACTTATATAATTATTCATTTATATCTCTTCTCCAACCAATAATAAAAATCATCCCATATTTTAAAATATTCTGAGTCTTCTCTATCTTTAATCATCAAAGTTAATCTATTCATTTCTGCACAATCTAAAAAATTTTTTATTACTTCTTCTTCCAAAGGTATTTTCTCCGCTTTCCAATTTTGTGCATAAACAATCCTTGCAGCTGTTATTACATGTATTATCAAATAAACATTTTCCTTGCTAATTTTTTCAGGTAGGATACACAGTAGGAACAGCTCTGGTTTAAATTTGATACGTTAATGTATCATTTCCTCCAAGTCTCCAAGACTAACCAAGTCTTGAGTTTAATCCAATAGTTTTTAGCTTCCGGACATGTCCACCACATATGATAATATAATCCTGGTAATTGATGACATTTCCAACATTTAGCTGATTTTTCTTTAAACATTTTTGCTAATTTCTCTGGTGGCATATGCCATCTATAAAACATTTTATATTGATTTTCCTTATATGCAGTGGACATTGTTAATTTATAATTCCTTTCCCATAATTGTTGCCATTTTTCCAAATCAATTGAATATCCAAAGTTTCTTCCCCAAGCTATCATTGCTTCTTTTACTTGCTCCTCCTCTAATTCAATACTAAGCAAAAAGTTATCATTTTTTTAAATTAAATTATCGTCTGTTCCCATGAGTATCCTATCCAACTCAGTCTTTTCCATATAGAAACCATATAATTTAGCATCCTTTTCATATCTTGTTTGTATCTGCATATACATATACCAGTCTGTCTCAATCCCCTGTCCTTCTAGTTCCTGTTTCCCTTTCAATTCTCCCTCGTCAGTAAATCTTTATATCTAACAATATTGCCAAAATTAAAAACATTTGGGTGTATGAAAGCTTCCATAGACGATAACCATGTTGGTATAACCATGTTGGTATTTTCACATAGTATTAAGTAAGTATCTCTTACTTTCTCCCAAACCAATAACAATGCATTTCTTACATAGTGTCTATGAAAATATGTGTGTATCTTATTTCTACCATACCAAAAAAGCATGCCAGCCCAGTTGCAAGTCATAACCTTCCAATGTTAACAACCTTATATTTCTTAACTCCACCCATTCCTTCAACCATGTCAAAGTTGCTGCCTGGTAATATAGTTCCCAATTTGGTAACCCAAATCTACCTCTCTATCTTCTTTCTTGCATCATTCTTATGCTTATTCTTGTCTTTTTCCCTTGCCATATATATATTTCCTTATTATCTTATTGAGATATTGAAAATAAATCTTTTCAATTTTTATTGGCACAATCTGAAATAAAAATAATAATCTTGGTAGTATTGCATAGTACTACCAAGTATCTTTATCAGTGCAATTCGTCCCATGAATGATAGTTGAAAATTCTTCCATTTTTCCAGGTCTCTTTCAATTTGCTGTTTTAATTTATAATAATTATCTTCTTTTATTGTTACACATCTTGAAGTTAAATATACTCCAAGGTACTTAACTTTTTTCACTACTTGTATATTCGAATTTTCTTCCATCTCTCTTTTTTGTTTTTCTGTCATGTTTTTAGCCAACATTTTTGTTTTGTCTTTATTTATTTTCAAACCGGAGACTTTCCCATAATCTTCTATTTGCGCTAATAATTTAGGGCCTGTTATTTGCAGATCCTCTATAATAAATACCAAATCATCTGCAAAGGCCTGCAATTTATACTCTTCTTTTTAAACTTTTATCCCTTTTATCTCTTCATCTCGTCTAATATTTCTATTTAAAACTTCTAATGTCAAGATAAACAACAATGGCGAAAGAGGACATCCTTGTCTAGTACCTTTCATTATGCTGATCTTTTCTGTCATTTCCTCATTTATCATTATCTTAGCAAATTGTCTATCATATACTGTTTTTATAACATTTATAAATCTCTCCCCAAAATCCATTCTCTGTAATTGTTGTATCATGAACTGCCAACTCACATTATCAAAAGCTTTTTGGGCATCTAAAACATCAATGCCATCTGTTTTTCTGCATGGTTCTCATAATATTCCAAAGCGTTCAAAATCATCCTCATATTGTCTTTAATTTGTCTTTTTGGTAAAAATCCACTTTGGTCTGCATGTATATATTCATTTAGTAGATTTTTCAATCTGTGTGCCATCATTGACGCAAAAATCTTATAGTCTACATTAAACAACAAGATCGGTCTATAATTTTTTATCAATTGTAAATCCGTTTCTTTTTTAGGTATAAGTGTTACATATGCCTCCTTCCATGAATCTGGCATTTTTGCCTTTATTAATAAATCATTAAATAAGTCCAACATTATATTACTAATCACCTCTTGTAATGTTTTATATAACTCCGATGGTAAACCATCTGGTCCTGGTGTTTTCCCACTTTTTTGTCTTTTTATTGCTTCTGTTACTTCCATCATTCTTATTCTTTCTTCTAACATTCCTTTGTATTGTTCTGATATTTTAGTCAAATCTGATTTTTCCAAATAGTATCTCTTCCTCTGGAATCTTCTCTTGAGAGTAGAGTTGCTCATAATATTTTTGAGTTATTTTCTTTTTATCTTCAATTCTATATTGTAGCTTCCCTTCTCCATCTTGTAAACATTGTTTTCTTCTCCCTCTCTTTTCTTAACTTGTATGCTAGCATTTTCAAAAAAAATCTGTTTGGTTGCTCTCAATTTATTTGCTAATGCTTCTTGTTCATTCAAATTTATTTCATGTTTTTTCAATTCCATCGATTTCTTAATTTTTTCTTTAAGTTATCTTTCTGAAATTCTTTTTCCAATTTCTTATATTCCTCTTCCTTGTTTCTGCCATTTCTTTTTATTCTTTTTTCCCAAGTACATTATTGCTAGGCCTCTGATATATGCTTTCATTGTATCCCATAAATTTTGAAGTGATGTATCCTCTTTCTTGTTTATTTTAAAAAATACTTCCAATTCTTTTTCTGCAAAGTCCTGAAACTCTTTTTCATTTAAAATTGCTGCATTCAAAGTCTATCTTGTCTTTTTCTTTTGCCCTTTCCATATTATTGTAATTGGGCTGTGATCAGCCCATATATTGGAACCAATATTTACTTCTTGCACAGTCTCTGTATGTCCCGTTGACAACTATATCATATCTACCCTTGACCATGTTATATGTCTATTTGAATAGAAAGTGTATTGTCTCTCTTTCAAGTGAAAAACAAAAAAAGATGAGAGAAAAAAACCAAGATTTCCAACAACCTCTACTCTCCAAAAGTTTTTTTTTTTTAAAAACTCCTCTTGTCAAAATGTAATCAAAAATCCAAAAAAAATTGGGTTTGGTAAAAAGGAAAAAAGAAAGAAAAAAAAGAAGATAATAAAAACCAACAAGGAATAAAATAAATTTAAAAAGGTTTCTTCTGACTTTTCACGTCTTAATCCAAGGAAAAACTATTTTAAAATCCAATTCCATTAAATCCAGTGAATAAAATAAATAAAAGGAAAAAAAAAGAAAAAAAACACCTCTAAATATATAGAGAGAAAGAAAAAAAGAGGAGTGAGTCTAAAAGCTTTTTCCACCAGCAATTCTCAAAACAAAAAACTAGTCCATCCAGAAAATAAGAGATAATAAAAAAATTTGAAATCCAAAAAATCAGACAATCCAAAAACTCCAAAAAAAGAAGGAAATTCAAAGACAAGTTTCAGTCTAATCTTCACAGCTGTTCTATTATCTTCTAACCAAAATGTCAAGGTCAGTTCTCAGTTTCTTCAGAAATATGTCTTTTTTCTTTCTGCCACTAGATGGCGCTGCAAGTTAACTTTTAATATTGAATCACACTTTTGTCTCTTTACAGTTGTTACAAAGTTTCTTTCTTTGTAATCACTTTCTCTTATATCCCATTCATAAACTAAGTATCGTTCATTCAGTTCAGTCAAAGTCTTAGTATCCAATTCCTTTTTTAAGCCAATTTCAAATCTCCAAGTCTTCCCCCCCCCCCCTTCACTCAAAGTCTGATAAATTTCTAAAATTCCGGATGTGGATGCAGATACGCACCCACTCCCACTCCTCGCTCAGTCAATCTTTTCCACCCTATCAATCTTTCCCGATGGAGCAAGAAAAAAAAACAACTCAAAAATTAGTAAAAAAAGCTGTCTCTTTACTTCCTCTTTTGTTGCGGCCGTCCCAGCTTTTTAGCGACTTCTAGGTCGCTTTCCACCCTGTCTGATTTGAGGAGCTTCTTCCGGTCTTTCCAGGGAGATTGCGATCTCCCTGTGCTGACCGGTATGTGCTCCTCTTGTTTGTTGTCCCTACAGGACGACTTAGGTCACCGAGGACCCTCGCACAGCGGGGATATCAACGACCCCCTGGGAGGAACCAAGGAGTCTGTGGTATCGCCGCAATGTTAGCCATGCCTCTCCCTCTGGATCTCATTGAATGATCAGGGGTTAGAAAGCACATCCTGCAGTGATGGGTTTGAATCAAGGGTCTTTGATGATGCCCCTCAGCTCAGTTAAGATAGTTCTTTCACATCCTCCTAACATTTATACCACCACAATTCAGTAAAAGAAAACTCTTTAATGGGGCCAGTTGGGTCCAGCTGTATTCACACAGCATGCTTGGTGTGGTCGCCAAGTAGCTTCCTTTCTGAGTTTGCACAGTGCAGTGAACCCTAAGTCACAAAAAACTATTCAGAGCCTAGGCTTGTGTAAATGCAGGTATATATATAGTATGTTGAGGGACCACCACATTTATAGTGCAGAGTTGCAGGAGAGCGGACGGGAAGAAGAGACTCAGCCAGCACTTGAGAACAGATCCCATCAGCAGCTATTTAAAGGGCAGCCAAAATGCCACTCCTTGCAGATCACCTTTCAGCAATGCCAAAGCCTTTTCCGCAGGAGAGGAGAGCTGCTGTGCCAATCAGCTGACTGCTTGGCTGATCTTGGGGGAGAACCTGCTTTTCTCTTGAAGGCTGGCTGGCTGGCTGGCTTCCTGCCATTCTCACCCCAGATTTTATTTTTCCTTATTTTCTGTTGCAGAGCAAGCAAGGAGACATCACGAGTTCCTCAGCTTGGGGGCAATGCGGGGTCTGTGGTGAGCACCCCCCTGCAGCATTCGTTCCTGACTGACGTCTCTGATGTGTATGAGATGGAAGGGGGTCTCCTTAACCTGCTGAATGATTTCCATTCAGGGAAGCTGCAAGCTTTTGGTAATGTTTTTTTTTTATATTAAGTTTTTTATTTTTTCCAATATAAACATACATGTTTCGTGGACAGTACATTGATTGAATCAGATCTTTTTTATACAATGTTAACAATAACAATACAAATAGTATGTAGAATTCTAATTTCCAATTTCAAACAATACTAGTCTCATTTCATATTCCTTTTACATTTTCCCTTTAATTGGTTTAAGCATAAATAATATTTCTTCGCACCCTGTGTTTATTATCCCTTAGTAAATGTTGTCATTCCATATTTTAAAAATCACTCATTATTCCAGCATAACATCAATATTCCAAATGTATAGGATTACAAATAACACCAATTATTAACAATATTCAATCCATCAATGGATTGGACATCTTAAAGTCCCCACCATTTCTAATCCTTAATATTTTAAATTCACAATATCTTTTAACACACTTAATATTAGTACTTCAGTTAAATTGTCTACTCTTAAATTACCATCTACTAACCTAAAACATTGGGGTTTTGGTGTTTTCCCATTTTATTAATAAATATCCTCATTATCTATCCATCTCTTAGTCTTTCTAAAATTCCATCGTTTATTGATTTTTTGGTCAGTCTTTTATCTCTCTCTTGGAATCTTATATCTCTTTTTAATTTTTTTGTGTCTACTAAACTTTCCCTTCTGGGTGCGTTTTGCCTCTTTCTGCTGCATTTTTTGTACACCCATCCACAAAACTTCCTTTTGTTTTTGTTTTAAAAAAGGGGTTTTTTTCTCTCTTCTCTCTGTACCCTTATAAATTATGATGTTATATATTTATCTTCTACTTATTAGTCTCTTCTCCCCTTTATTCCTAACTTCTTGCTTCTCATTTTTATTCTCCCCTTCCCCTGCTTTTTTTAGTTTCTTATCTACTTCTCAAATATCCGGTTCCTCTTTTCCCCCCAATTGTTGAGTAGCTTCTACATTCATTTCTGTATCTTTAAACAATTCCTTTGTCTTTGTCATTTCTTAAGAATTCACACAGACTCTTTAATATGCACAATATTTCTTCATACATCTCTAGATCCATTTTATAGTGATTTAATACAGTTTATAAAAAGTATATTTCTATTATTCCAATATCTCAATAGTTAAGAAACTTCTATTTAATCCCATAGTTATACTTCCAGAACCCCATATTTTATTTCATAATAGTTTACAGCCCAATCGTCCAAATTTTAAAGTCTTATTTCCTTCTGCTCTCTTTTCTTTTGACCTTTTCTTCTTTTGTCTCTTAGAATATTCTATTAAATAACATTAATAGTCCAAGTCCAAATTTGTCCAGGTTACTCCACTAAATTCCAATCCATAATCCAATGGTCAATTTTAGTAAGATTTAGTTATTTGCAAATTAGTTCCTTTTGTAACTCTTCAAAGGGAAAGAAAAAAAAACCCCACTATTGAATGTTCTTGAATTTTCCCAGGTGTCTTCTAACAACAGAGTCAAGGTCAGACTATTCACTAGATGTTGTTACTTCTGTTTTGTGTATCAGACTTTGTGTGTATTAGATTAGCTTTCATTAAACATATTGCGGCTATAGTGTTGTAGTACTTCTCTTTCTCCAGTAGATGGCTCTCTTATGCCCCATCCAACATAAGCAATCTGTCAAAAATAGCTAATTGTGGGATAAATCCAAGGGGTTTAGAAATTCAAATAAACAAAAATAATTTCTCCCTAAAGTCGCTTTCAGATTATTTGGGCTTTTTCCCACGCTATCTGTGTTTTATAGCTTCTCTTGGGCTATAGCTATAGTTGTATAGTTCTCTTGGGCTTTTTTTTTTGTCTTTTCATTTCCGGGTTTTTTGTTTTCCTCCGTGTGTCAATTCCTCATTATTTTAAGCTTAGGAGTTTTCTTTTCATAATCTTTTTGTTATTGCAAGTCATTAAAATGAAAGTTGGTAAATATCTCACCCAATTTCAATGTCTGTCCATACATTGCTCCTGCACAATCTTGGTTCCTGATTGTCCCGGCTTTGGCAGCTGTGCCTGCTGCCGTTCGGGGAGAGCTTGCTTCGGACTTAACGAGGAATTTGCCTCTCCTTCCTTCACCCTCCGTACAAGATGGCTGTGACCCCGAAGGGTCTCCTGGCAGCAGTTACCAGCTGGATTTTCACAGGGCTCAGCAGAGCCTGCTATTTTCCAGCTGTTCTTGCCAAGGTTGCAACTGGAAGTCCTACTTTTGGTAATGTCTTTGATGCTGGAATATCTCTAGACTGTGTTTTGCTGGAGAGAAAGAGAGGAGGCTGGTTTAAATCCAAAATTATCACTAATCTCTCTAGCTGGTCAAGAAAAGCTCTTAGCCATTTGTGAAATCAGAGATGAATTAAATGGATAATTAATTTGGGTTTCTCCCCCTCCTTAGTTCCTCCCCTACCGATTCTCTTGTCTCTCTTATGTTAAATCTTGCATCCGCTTGTCAGTCCCTGGCCACCGATGTCCCAAATCTTGGCCAGATGCATTTCTATCTCAAACGGCTCCATTGTTAACCCGTTTGTCTACATGGAAGAAGGTTGTCCTGTCTTTTTAATAATTCTCTTGCTGCAACAATTAATGTTCCTCAGACTTGATAGGGATAGAAAAATTGTCCCAGTATCAACTCTTGATTTTCTCCATAAGATGTGGCAGAGAAGCTTCCCTTAGCAACTTACATATGGATTATATATGGGCATGTATATAAGCTCCAATGTTGGAGGAGGGTGGGGGGGGAGAATCAAATTTCAGTTAAGTGCAAGGTTTATGTTCCTTTGATACTTTGGTTTTGTGCTTCTAAGGCTGCTTTTCGAAACCTTGGCAACCATGCTGGCGGGGGAATCCAGAGAGTTAAAGTACACACATCTTCAGACTGTCAAGGTTGAGAATCACTGTTCTAAGGATTCCAATAATAGATATAGTTCGTGATGCTTTTGATTTGGAAGAAATTGTGATGGACTGTTTAACACACAGTGCCTGGTCTGGAGGCGATCACTGAGTTGGGTAGGACTATGACACTGTTAGTGATAAATGCTGGCAGTTCCATTACCTTGCCCAAATAGAACCCGAGCCATAAAAGTAGATTAAAATGTCTTAATTATATACATAAGTAAGAAGAGGCACCTCACCCAAGCAAGGAGATGAGCAGCTTAGAAAAGTAGAAAATCACTTTATATACAGTTCAAACTTACTGGGTTCAGAACGAGTTCTTTCATTTGGTTAGCATCATTTGAGACATCTCTGATGCAGCACACATGCTCAGTACCTTTAGTATGTTGCATTAATATTCTATAGCATCCCATAATATCATTAGCATGATCTTGTTAATGCGTATCTTCATATTCAGGAAGTTTTTATATTATAATGAGGCATAAAGAAGATTGCAAGTAACTAAGTCAGGGTCCCCGACAGGTTTAAACCAGTTCTCTTCTCAGGCTGTACAGAGCTTTCTTTGTTCCCTCAAGGACTAGAAACATTAATCAAAGAGACTCCTAGTTTCTGGAAACATTTATCAATGCTGCTGCCGCCATTAATACCTTGGTAAGGCCAGGTCACCTTTTCTTTCTTTCTTCTCTCTTTGGCTCACCTTTGCTCTGCACCCCTGTCCTCGGCTGGGCCTGCAGGCAGAGAATGTTCTTTTGAGCAGCTGGAACACGTGCGGGAGATGCAGGAGAAACTTGCCCGCCTGCACTTCAGCCTGGATGTCTATGTGGAGGAACTTGTGGAAGATCAGAAGAAAACCGTGGCTGACAGGAATCTGGACCAGCTGCTGACCAATGTGAGTATCCCAAGCAACTGCCCTCTTCCCTTCTTCAAAGGACCCCTCCCTTTCCTGTCCTCCGAGGAAGATCCACCTGTGATGGAATATTGTGCGGAGGTGGATTCCCAGAGGGTGGATTCCCAGGATGAGGGGGTGCATTCCAGAGGAGGAAGAGGCAGTCCGGATATCCTGTGTGAGAGAAAGAGGATGAAGACAGCCCCTCCCTTCACAGAGCAAACGGTAGATGCCGATGGCTTGCCGAGTCCTCGGTCTGGCAAGATTCCATCCATAGAATCAATAAATAGAGTTCAATAAAGAACTCGGCTTGGCAGAATTGCCACATGCCGTTCTTGGTTTTGGACTTGACACCAATCTTGCCAGGCTTGGGAGTCTGCTATTGGCATCTACCATGTAATCTGAGAACTCTTAGGGAGGATCTGTCTTCCCCCTCTTTCTCTCACACAGGATACCTGGGCTGAGTTGCCTCTTCTACCTCCGGGATGCAACCCTGCCTCCTGGGGACCCACCTCCTCACTCCCTTCCATCACATCCCTAGACTGAAGTCGGCTTGGTATTTTGTCCTTTAGGAGGAATGCAACACATTAGAACATAAAGTTTGGTTCACTGTTGCATGGATCCAGCAGCTCAGGATGAAATGGTGGTGGTGGGAGGCACAGCAGGCAGGGGCTGGAAGGAGGAGACCCACCTCCTGCCCTGCCCATGTGAGAGGAATGCAATCTCCAATGAAATGAAGCTAAAGCACAGTTTGAATGGCTTTCTTTGAGGCAGAGCAGGAGGAGGCAGGGAGAGCCCAGAGACAATGCTGTGCGTTTGTGTCCTTGGCCAGAACAAGTGGGATGCGATGAGGCTGACTGGGTTCCCACAACACACTGAACGTGCCCCAGGTTAGTCTAGCCGAGGATGGGGGCTTAGACAGGCCCTGCAGAAGGGCCCTTCTCTAGGCCTCCGGAGATGGAGTGAAATGGGCACTGAGATGAGGTTGCATCTCCTCTCCAATTAATTCTGGTTATTCCAAACCCAGCCTGGCTACCACATATCTTTATCTTGTTTCATTGTTTAAATTAAGCTCTTGGAAGGATAGGTGGGTAGCTTCCCCAATGCCTGTCCCTGCGCCTGGTGTGACGGGATCTTGGACAAGGCTTCTGGGGTTGTGCCTCCTGCATATGTTCATAATGCCTTTTTTGCTTTTTTTTTCATTTGTTTTTGCAGCTGGAAGAACTCAGCAATTCCATGTATCCTTTTTGTAGGGCCCAATGTGGTTCTCCTGGCAAATTGATCCGGAGGTGGGAAAGGAAGAAGGATGTGAATGGGGTGCTGTTTCAGAGAACACGTTGGCCTATGGGGAGGCAGTGCCTGGGTGTCCATGGGGATGGCGATGTCTTGTGTATAGGACTTCATTGTGCTTTGTCCTGGACACCTAAGTCCAAGTGACAGCCAATCTCTTGCCTACAATAACTCTAATTAAGATAATATAATACAATATCTCTGCCATTGGATGACTTGAACAAAGTACAGGTAGTCCTTGACTTACCACCCTAATGGAGCCTGGAATTTCCATACGTCATGATGGTTATAACTCGAGACACCCACAGGACCGCCTTGATTTTGCAACATTTTTTGAAGCAGTTGCTAAGCAGAAGCAATTATGTTGTGGGCTGCGATAGGCAAGAACAGACAGCATAGAGACAACAGCATTTATTGACTCAACTGGAACTGCTGAACAACAGGCAAATTCCTGTAATTTATACTCTGGGCCCACAGGGCCTCAACCAATCATAATACTTGAAAAAGCCCACCCAAATATGAATGTTCTAAGTTTCCCTCCAAAACAGTTGAAGTTAACACTTAGGGTCATCTAAAGGTTATTTTCACTTTAACTTAACTAAAAGCTTAACACAACTATATGTATTCAATACATAACAGATGCTGTTTTTGTTAAGAGAACTCATTGTCCACAAACTGGTGTTTACTTCCGTTTTCCAGTAAAGAACATCATAAAGTTTGCAGGGTCACATGACCCTGCAAACTGCCATAAATAAATACAGGCTGGTTGCTGAGCATCCAACATGCAATCCTGTGACTGCACATAGGGACATGGCCATTGGAGCTCCGAATCTGGGTCGTAAGTACCTTTTTCAAGGCCCTTTGAACAGTTGCTATGCAACCAGCTCTAAATTGAGGACTACTTGTATTTTAAGTGAGCTCCTTTCTCCCATCAACAACCTGTGGACAAAAATGCTGATTTATCTTAGAATTTTGGTAACAAAAACATAGCAATACATGCTAAAATGGCCCTGGGTGGTTCATGTATGGTGTGAAACCACCCACACAATTGTTACAAGAGCCAACCTGGTTTAAGAGTGCTAAATTTTGCACCTTGCATAAATCCACATTCGGTCATGAAGCTCAGAGACTGATCCTGAGAACTGTCAGTATGCAAACATTCCATGAGCCACATCTATGTTGCTTGGTCCTCCCAAATCCAAGCCAGCAGTCTTAACCGATGTTTGTGCCCATCCTTCCAAGTACTGGTATGGGTGTACACTTCCAGCTTCCTCAATGTTCATGTTACATCCTGCAGATTCAATAGAGAGCTGCAGTCTAAACTAAGTCAGCATGGCTGATGTTCATAATATTATGCTTCATAGGATGAACCAATGGCAGAGACGTCCCTGGGTAGATGGGGGTCAAAAAAGGCAAGATCAGCGTTTCTCAACTTTGGCAACTTTAAGATAGTGGACTTCAACTCCCAGAATTCCCCAGCCAGCAAGTCTGTTGAAGTGCACCCATCTTAAAAGTTACCAAGGTTAAGAAACATTAGTCAAGACAAGGACTGCAGCTGCACGATTGAAGCCTTGCCCTTTTGTTTACATGTATTTGCATCTGTAAAACAGGGTGGGACTTTGGTTGTGGCTGCCATCTTGGCTTTTTTCACCCCGAGATGCAATCTTGCATCAAAGTTAGCCAAGATTCCTTGCTGTTGGTCATTTGGACTGAGACTGATAGGAGCTGAAGTCCAAAACTTCAGGCAGCTGGTCTATCCAAGCTATAGAAGCCTGGAGAAATGGCTGCTCTCCGCCTCCTCCTACTCATTTCTTAACCCTTTACCTTAGACAAAAGCTTCACCTGGCTGAAAATCCTGATGTGGAAGAAGCTCCCAACGCCTAGAAGAGGCATCGGGAAGGGCCAGGCCAGCCCCCTTCTGACGAGGCCTCAAGAAAGATGTCCCACAAGGATGTCTGGCAGGTAACTACGTCTGAATTGTGCTGTAAAAAAGTTAGGGGCTGCTGGATGGAAAGAGGCAGAGGGACATAAGCAGCAGGACTGGAGATCGGCAGGAGGCAGAAAGCTCAAGGGAAAAGAGCCTATCCTGCATGGCTATCGAAAAATAAAAGAAGCAAGGAAGGCAAAGAAGAGGGACCGGCCAGGATGCTGATCCTCCACATTGGAGCCCCGAGTTGAGCTGAGAGACCCCCTTTTGTTCAGTTGTGGCAAGAGAAGGAGGCTTTTGGTTTCCTTCCCCTTGCAGTGTTGCTCCAGGTTCCATAACTGACAAACCTCTCAGGAAATTTGTGATGAGCAGCAGACACAATACCAATGGCAGCCCTGCATTCTCGCTCCTCCTGCACCTCTCATTTTAAATAGTTTTGTTTTTGTAATGCTGCATGAGTTTGATCTCCTGCATCCTATGCCTGCTCTGCACATGGCCTTAGTCTGAGAGCTGTATATTATTCTTTCAAAGAACACAATTACTATATTAGGGGTGGGACAATTGCTTTGGGGGGAGTTTGGAAAAAGCCCCCATTATTCTTGATGATACTTTTATGTTCCTCCTTTTTCACTTGGATCTATAGCTGTGGGGAACAGATGAATTCCAACAGTATCAAACGTGAAGGCAACTGGGGAACATTTGTGCTGAGATGATTCTTGAGAACACGATCTATCCCTGCAACCCCCACCCCCCTCCAATCTCCCGGGCTGGGGACGTGCAGAAGAAGGAGCAGGCTGAGCTGCTTGGTTTGCTTGTCGCAGGCTGTCAAGTCAGAAAAGCCTCTTCAGCCGGGAGCCACCGCAGAACCAGATGGAGAGACCTTCCGCTCAGCAGTGGGGAAGCAGGGAATTCCATCCCAGAAACTATTTGGATCTTCTATTAGCCTGTTTCCAGAAGGCTTTGTCTGTTGCTGGAATTGGGGACGTAACCTTCGTAACCGATTTCTAGGGAGAAGAGGCCTGCCTTGAGTTCACTCCTAATTGCGGACTCTGAGCCATCAATGTGGTGCCGAGAGCGCTTAAGCCAGGAGTCTTGGTCATAAAAGAGAAACACATTTGAAATCGCTCTCTCTGTTTTTGGTTACTTTTATTGAGGGGGGGGGTGCTGCTCATTCTGGGGTCTTCCTGTGGGACGGGTGGGGAACTAGGGCCCCTTTATGACTTGTGGGCTTCCAACTCCCAGAGCTTCCAAGGCGGCTCTGCTGGGGCGCGGATTCTGGCGGTCGGAGTCCGCAAGTGAAAAGGGCCCCTAGTTCCCCACCCGACGCAGGGTAAAGCTTTAGGAGCGGCGTTTGATCGGCTCCCTGTCTCCATGGCTGGGAACGTCGGCGGGGGTCGGGTGGGGAACGGGACGCGAGGGGGCGCTGGAGCGTGGCTGGCGGGGGGATTCTGGCAGTCGAAGCCCCCCCCCCACGTTTTACAGCCGCCTCTGCCTTCTGGCGGAACGTCGCGCAGTGAAGACGTCAAACGCAGCCGACGCCCCGTCGCACATCTGACTGAGGGATCGACCCCTCGCGCTCTCCCACAGAGCCTGTTCGGCCGGTCGGGGCTGGGGCTTCGGGCGCACAAGGGAAATGATGGGACCCGACGCTCAGCGCAGCTGGAAAGCGGACCCCGCCCAAGCAGCCGCTGGCTGTGGCGCGAGTCGCTCTTCGCTGACGTCATCAGAGGGCGCGGTCGCCGTTTCTCGCAGCAGGATGCGGGGGGAGGCGGCGGCGGCGGCGCGGCTGCAGGTGCGCGGGGGCTCGGCCGAGGGGGGCGCCGGGGTCGGTGGCCAGAAGTCCCGGGCGGGCTGACCCCGGGATCCCCAGCCGCAGCGGGGCCGCCTCGATTCGGGGGTGCGCTGCAGCAACGGCGTTTCCCAGCCTCTGAGAGGCGTCGAGGGGGGGAAACGGAGGGAGGCGCTGTGTGGCGCCGCGGGGACCGTGCTGGCTCTTTCGGCGGGGGCCTCGGGAGATGGAGGCTCGGAGAGCAGCGCCCGCCCCTCGCGGCGCCTCCGAGGCCCCGGAGTGGGAAAGAAGGGCGCCTCTCCTGCTTCGCCCCGGGATCTGCGTGCTCCCTCGCGGGGAGGGAACTCTTCTCTGGGGGAAGGTCTTTGTCGACTTGGAACCATTAATTTAGCGACCGTTCGAAGACACAACAGCACTGAAAAAGTGGCTTACGGCCGTTCTTCACAGTTCGGACGGCTGCGGCGCTCCCATGGTCGCGGGATGAAAGCCAGGTCGCCTGGCAACGCGTGTCGGAGCGTCCGGGGTGACGTGATCCCCTTTTGCGACTTTCTGACAAGCAAAGTCAATGCGGGAGCCAGATTCATTTAATAACCGTGTTACTAACCTAATAACTGGAGTGATTCACTTAACAAGGGGAACGAGGAAGGTTGTAAAGGGGGGCAGAACTCATTGAACTTGCTTAGCAATGGAGATTTGGGGCTCGATTGTGATTGTAAGTCAAGGATAGATAGAATAGAAATGGTGAGGAGTTAAAAGGTTCAGATAAATGTAAAAGGGTTCTGGGCTTCCTTCCTCCTCTTCAGTATTTCCTGGAATTGGAATTGGCACAAGTAAGTGCTGACTTCCTCCTTGCCCTCGCTCCCATGTCAAATGGCAGCTGGACGAACAAGATGTGAGGGAGAAAAACCACCTGTTAGATGTCTCCCTATCAACTCCTGTGTAAGGACCAGCCTCTCCCCCCGTCCAAGAAAATACGAACTCTTGAGAACTTTATATTTCAAAAGGAACCTTTTATTGAAAGGGATGAAAGCAAGTCAAAACTCAAAGCAAGCTCCTGAGGTCTCTCAGAGCATGCAGTTCAGGATAAAGGAAATTAGGAACCCCTCCCCACCGTCCGATGTGCATTCCCACCAATTGGCTGGTGTGAAGATTAGCCTCTCTGAGAAGCAGATAAGAAGAGCTTCTCAAAGCCATCTTGCAATCCACACGTTTCCCCCCCTCCTCTCATTTCACAGAAGGTGAGAATTCTTCAGGCACCCCTGGCGCCAGGCAACGGTTATAAATCAGGTTAAAGTTTATATAAAGAGGACCAGGCAAGAAATAGGATACGTAGGATACATAGGAAAGAGAACTAAATGTGACGAATCCAAATACCCCCCTTCTTCTACGAAGAATGGCAGATACATGGATCTGACATCTGTAATACTGGAGAAACTCAATCCTTGTTCTATGCCAGGCCTCATCATTTCTGTGCTGCTGTGATTGTGCTTTTAACAATTTGTTCCCTTTTAGGCTGTTGTCAGGGGTTACCTGATCAGGAAAAGGCTTCAAAGCATAAGGAGTAAGTATGAGAGCATCGTCAAGGAAATTGAAGGTGACTTGGATTGGGTCCAGTGGACTGGCCATTTCTTCCCAAGACCAGCGTTTCTCTCAAAGGTAGGACTGTTGATCGGCTCAACTCTTAGCAGAAGTGGGAGTATCGACCCTTTCTTGAATTGCTCCAGAGGGGAATTAAAGACCTAGAGGTTAAGGCATCAGCAGAATCAGCACAACCAGAAGGTGTGAGTTCTAGTTTTACCTTACGCATGAAAAACATCTAGATCAGCAGTCCCCAAACTTTGCAGCTTGGCAGCCTGGCTTGTGGGGGTGGGTGGGGGTGTTGAACTGAGCCGTGCAAGCATGTCAATGCACACACAGCTCGACTGCGCGTGGTCCGTGGCCCGATTGCAAATATGCCACGGCCTGGTAGTGGGCTAGGGATTGGGGACCCCTGATCTAGATAACTATTTTTCAGTCTTAATAAACTGCCCTGTTTCCTTTTTTTTAATGCACTATAATCTGCATTTGATAATATATGAATGAAAAAGCTCATTAGGACTTGAGGATTTGGCTAGAAATAGTCCAATATGCCCATTTGTTTTTACAGCTGATCTGTGGCTCTTAGTGTAATACCTAATAGGAGAGCTTGAATTTAGCCAGGTAACAAGGAATGCAAGTTTCTCCCAGACTCCATGGATTGTTGTAACAAAACTAAGTCTGGTGGCATTCAGTATAGAGCCGTGATGGCGAACCTATGGCACGCATGCCACAAGTGGCACATATAGCCATATCAGTGGGCATGCCAGCTTAGCTCTGGCGTGCATGTGCGTGCCGGCCAGCTGATTTTCGGGCCTTCTGGGCCCACCAGAAGTAGGGAAACAGGCTGTTTCCTGCCTCCGGAGGGCCGGGGGTGGGGGGGTTTAGGGTTAGAGTTAGAGACTCCTAGAGGCTCTGGAGACTGGGGACAGCAAAAAACGTCACTTCCTGTCCCACCGGGAGTTGGGAAATGGGCTGTTTCAGGCCTCCAGAGGGCCTCCGAGGGAATGGGAAAGGCTGTTTTCACCCTCCCCAGATGCACAGAGAGGATCTGGAGCCAGGTGAGAAGGAAAAATGGGCCTATCGGGCCATCACATGCCAGGAGTGGGAGGGGGTGGGTGTTGCGCACGCATGCGCAGGGTGGGGTGCATAGAATTATGGGTGTGGGCACGCACGCGCGCACACCTCCCCCACCCCCTCTCCTGGCACGCGATGGCAAAAAGGTTAGCCATCACTGGTATAGAGAATGCTGCCTTTGCTTATCATATAAATTTTTGCTTTTTGTTTGATGTGTAATAGGATGTGCAATGCTCTGCAACACATTCAACTTGAAAATACCTTGCTCTGTACATAATGATCATTCTCTTTTTAAAGGTAATTTTTTTATTTTGTATTATTGTTTTATATTAATGAACTTTATTTTTATATTTTATTTACAGTCTGCCAAGAAATCAATAAAGCCATTCAACAGAGAAAAGGTTAAAATTGACAAGCCACAAAAACAGGATGCACAATATTTTCAAGAGATATCACAGTCTAAACAAATGTGTGACTTTGAGATGCAGTTTCCAAGCCGATTACTGGCTGAGGTGGAACCCAAGGAACCCAAGATCAGTGAGGTAGGACAGCAAGCTGTGGATGCTCACTCTGGGAATGTCTGCAGCCTGTCAGGAGAAAACGAGGAAGGCGGGGAACCCAGCAATGCCTCATCTGACTGGAGCAGCACAGTTCTGGGGATGGAGTCTCCCAGGATGAGCCAGGGTAAGTTAGGCACTGGAAGAACCCTGGACTTTGGTAAACTGGGAGGCAGTTACTACATCTGTACATCCAAGTCCTGGTTGGCATCAGTCTTCTTCCTAACAACTTTACCGAAGCAGCATTTTGTGTGTGTGTGTGTGCCTTGCCCGGCTTGAGGAGAGTGAGGCAATCTTGATTCTGACCATCTTCTTTTCTTCCCCAGAGTCTCATTTCCCCAAAGCACCGGAAATGCTCAGAGGGATGCCTGGCTTGCAGAACTATCGCAAGCACCTGGCTATGGAGCTGCTCTGGCTGCAACAGGCAATTGCCAGCCGTAAGAATGTAAGGACCCTGCCTTTGGGTCGCTTGCCTGACTTTTGTCTTGGGGAGCAGCCATAATCCAAATGCCGGCTGGTCTGGCACAGTTCTGTGATCATCGCTTCTTCTATAAACTGATAGATGGCATGGGGAGGAGAGGTATTTCAAAAGCATTGGGCAAAAGCAGGTGGCCTTGGCAGGATCCCTCAAGGTGTGGAAGAGCGTGCATCTTTAAAATTCAGAACTGTACTAATAGATGCATTGAACAGGAGTTAAAACTATCAAGGAAAGGATTAATGGTCTCCTTTGGAATATAGTGATTCGTATAATTTTATTAGGATAGCTGCAACCGTTGATGTAGATTTCGTCTGCTTTCATTTGTTTTTATTTCCTTTTTATTCTGTCATCCCTTATAGTATTTGATCCTGAAACACAGATTGGGGAAACCAGCTTGAGAGCTCACATGCGATCTTTTCACACTGAACTGGAAGCTGACACTGACCCACTACCTCCAGAAAGGAAGCAAGGGGCTGCAGGCAAGGTGTCCGCCGTGCTTCTTTTAGAGAGGCCACATCCTGAAGTCACCATTCAGATTTACAAAAGGAACTCTAAAAACTGGGGATTGCGAAAGCTTTTCAAGGCTGGCAGACTTTTTGGAACTGCTGTTGCAGAAGCTTCTTTTGTGCACTTTTGGTGGAGCAACATCAGTTTTACCAGCATTTGCAAAGCTATGGTAGCTAGTGATCAGTGGGCTTTTTTCCCCTGTCAGTTACATTAGAGCAGCTTTGACCAGAAAGTTTTCAATTTCTGGAGATTATTCCAGGGCCCTGTATTGTAGCTGGAGCCCTTCTGCTTTTTGTGGCTACTGGCTGTTTGCTTATTCTTAAAGTCTTTACTGCATGGCTGTTTCTGCTGTTTTGCTGGCTTATTTTTTGAAATTTGGATGCTCTCTATTAATAAATTGTTATGAAATTAAATAAAACATTTTTTCCTCCATGCCCCATTTTTGGCCCATGACTGTAAAATTAGGCAGTACCCCACATTTTTCAATTGTGCTAGGCAGTATGAACCTGCCAGGAGACATTACGGGTATTTCTTAACTTAGAATCACAATTGGGATCAGTTCTGTTGCTAATCAAGGTGGTTGTTAAATGAGTCATGCCTGATTTTAAAACCTTTTTGCCACGGTGGTTAAGTAAATTACTGCAGTTATTAAATGAATCACATGGTTGTTGAAGAAATCCAGCTTCGCTTGTTGACTTAGCTTTTGGAAAGTTGCAGTTTTACTGTATGGAATTCTGGGAGTTGAAGTCCAGATGTCTTAAAGATGCTGAGGTTGAGAAATGTTGCCCTAAATTGAACAAGGCTACTGCAATATTGTAGTGTGATTTTTAGCCAAAAATCCTCAGGGTGGATTACATTAGACAACAAAAGACAGCCCCGTCTGTGCAAGCTTGAACACTAAAAAAGAGAAAGCAAAAGAAGGCATTTAAAGAGAGAAGCTCTCCAAATGGAACTAGTAGCAGAGCGAGGAGTAATAACTTCTCTGGCAGGACTAGTCAGTCTCATAATCTTTAGTTTTTTAAGGGGATTTGGGAAACTGCAGGATCTGCAATGAATATGTTGAACAGTGGGGGACAAGAATGGAGAGGGACCCCTACACACTGGGCACTGTTGCTTTGTTACGGTTTTTATTTCCTTCCAAATCCACTTGTGGGTTTTACAGTATCTGCAAAACAGATTTGCATTTTACATCAGCTGCTCGCCACAACTTCAGAGTCATTTTGTAGCACTTGCATTTCCACCCTGCTGGCAGCCCAAGGCCGCTCATCGTGCCTGGGTGGGATGTGAAAAGCCCACTGACTGGAAAGCGCTTCACTGTGTGTGGTGGGGTTTATTACATTTTTTGTCCAAGAACGAGATCTCCTTTGATTGGGGCAACCCTGGCTTAATTCCCAGCAGCCATTGGCACTGGATCGAGCCACGGCAGAAGAGTAGAGAGGAGCATGTTGTTGTCTTTGTAGTTCCACCTTCATTATGGCACAACCTCTGATCTCATGGACAGCGGAGCTGACATCTCTGCTTCCAGGTCTGAGGGGCGTTCCGCTCTCTTTCGAGCGTACCTCCAGAAAAGGGGAGTTTCTGCCACAGACACACCCGAGTCTTTCACCAAGTGGAGGGCACTCCCTCTCTGTTTCCTTGTTGAACCGGCACTATGGAAACGGCATAGTTCTCCTCTCAGAAGGCAGCCTGTCACACTCAGAAGAGTAGTGCGGTTTGGCTACAGAAGCCCCCAAGGTGCCCCTCTGCCAGGGAGCTTTCTCAGACAAGCAGCCTGGGGTCTGCAGCCCAGGAGAGATGGTCTCAAGTACTGTGGCAGTGGCACCCCTTGCCAAGAATGTGGTGGTCTTTCGCAATGGGGACCCCTTTTTCCTTGGCCGGAAATTTGTTGTGAGCCAGCGCCGGTTCCTGACTTTTGATGCCTTTTTGAATGAGGTGACCAGCACCATCCAAGCCCCCGTGGCCATTAGGAGCATCTACACACCTCGAGAGGGTCATCGCATTGCGGAGCTGAGTGAACTGCAGAACGGGTGCCGATACGTGGCTGCAGGTTTTGAGCGGTTCAAAAGGCTTGAGTAAGTAACCTAACCCAATCCATTTTTATTACAGTCATAAAAACTTAAAAGTATATATGAATCATCAAGGACAAGATGAGAATCTAAGAAAAGAGGCCTATAGGAGTTAAAAGATTTTAACGTAGAAATGAAAATGTAAAAATAAAATAAATGAAAATGTACTAGATTACAGGTACCTAAATGTGGTAAGATCAGTTTAGTTCATAATGATGATTATGTTAAAGCACAATAATTATCTGATGAAGTTTGACCCTGATAGTGCTGAATGATGTAGCAGGGTGAATATCCAAGAACAGCAGAGATACACAATTGTTCTGGGTGTCCTTGTAGTCATGCTAGAATGAGAGTAGCCCAAATGCCTCTGCAGGGTGAGCATCAGAGGAACACATACTGTTTCTCTGCATCCAGAGCTGCAGGGGCCTTGCCGCTCCAAGTCAGTGGTGCCTTCCTCAAGGACTGTGGGGGTCAGAATGGAGGCCCTTCTGTGCTAGCAACTGTGGGGGTAGGTGGGTAGGCAGAGGACCGATTCACTGGCAGGAAAGTTCAAGGTAAAGATGCAGATTCCTTGCAGGTTGTGACAGAATGTGAGTCTGCTGGTGGGGCAGGGAGAGACCCTTCCATGACCTAGAGTTCCAGGGCAAGCCAAGCCAAACCAACTGCCAATCTGGCCCTGGCAGTGGAACCAAAGCACATTCTCAGCAATTTACTTCCCTTCCCCCTTGCAGTCAAAGACCTGAGTCAAAGCAGAACAGGCAGCCTGAGCAGGCTCTTAAAGCTCTGGGCTATTCTCTAGAGCTGGGCGTCTGTTCTAGACTCCAAGGGAGGACCACGACCCTTGAATTATGACACCACCAACCTCCTGATGTCAGTCTTCAAGCAGCCCTTGTCCTTGTGGGAGTATCAGAGGGCTGCTCTCGGCACCCAGCACTCAAGCCAATATGTAAATTGCTAAGATACGTGGCAACTTCTCCAGCACAAGATTCAAATGAGCTTTGTTTAAAGAGAGTCACAGCTCTGTAGAACGCCTGGAATAGTGCAGAGAAGTCCTACCCATGGTGGAATCCTTCATAGGTCTTGGGACTTCAAGTCCAGGCTTTGGAGTGTAGAGAATTCATAGCTCCAATACTGTACATCTGGAAAACCAGGTTGGGAAAAGATGTAGTAGAAAGTTTCTATTTTTGTGGGTTTTTCTGGCATTTGACTTGAGGTCCTGAGGACAACACTTCCCATTAAATCTCATTTGGTTCTCCTGTCCCAAGGCAAAGATGTGCCTTAAGTCTCTTCACTGGTTGCCTCTGGCTTTGTTTTCAAAAAATGAGAAAAGTTTGAACTTCTGCCCCTTGGACATCTTTTTCCAATCAGCCACCGGAGGGCCATTTTTGGGCTTGCCAGCTGGCACAGACCAACTCCTGCAGTGGGTGCTTAATTGGCAAAAGCTAAGGAACATCGGCCTCACAGCCATCTCTTAGCTATGGTGTGGGATTAATTACTGTCTTGCTGTGCAGAATTTTTGGGTTGGTTGCCTTTGGCTGGCCAATTATTTGAACTGTCAGAAACATTAAAATCATAAGAAGCTGCTGGTGGTGGTGGTGGTGGAACTCTGCTTCTTACTTCAAGGATGCATCACATGTGCAACTCATCTTCTGGAGAATAAAGTTTTATTGGGGCAGACGAATTAAAGATAAATTCAAACTCTTCTTCGAATTAAAGATGAACTGAAGGGGCAGCACTGTTCGTTTTCTCTGGTTGACCCAACTCAGCATTTCCCAATCTTGGCAGCTTGAAGTATGTGGACTTCAAGTCACAGCAACGCTGGCTCGGAAATTCTGGGAGTTGAAGTCCACACATCTTTCCTCTCTTCTTCTCTGAAAGGCATCTGGAGCATATCTAATAGCACTGGAGGTAATGGAAGTTGTAATCTAACCCATATCTATGGCAAAGAATATGCTGGTTGTTTGACTGGGAAACACCTCTTAAGAGTTACTTTGCCACACTCTTGGCCATTTCCAGAGATATGAATGTGTCAGCCTGTTGCAACAACCAGGGATTATAGAATTTGAAGTCTGCAGCATTCGTGGAAGAAATAGTTGTATGGAGAAGTAGGGGAGTCTGTTCTGGACTGAGACGAACTCCCCAGGACAGTCTCCTGAATCGGCTCAGTGGCTCATTTTCTTCCCAAATTACTTTTGACAGCTATGCAAATGCTGGAATGAAACAGCTGAACAAGCACCAGAAAAAAAATGGAGCCCAGGTGAGTGAGTGGTCATGGGTGGGCCAGAACTGATTTCAGAACGGAACAGTCTAGTTCTGCCTTAGGAAGGTTCTGGGACGAGCGGATTTTACGCAGTACTGGCCATTAGACAATTGCAAGTTGGCATTGGCTTACAACCACAATTGGGATCCGAATTTCTGTTGCTAAATAAGGTGCTTGTTAAGTCTCCCACCCATTTTTACAACCTTTTTTCCACAGTTGCTAAGCAAATCATTGCAATCGCTAAGTGAATCACATTAAACAAATCCAGGTCCCCCCATCGAGTTTGCTTGTGGGAAGCCGGCTGGGAAGGTTGTAAATGGCAGCCATGTGGTCAGTTGCCAAACACCCAAAATGTTGATCGCATGACCCTGGGGATGCTGTGGTGGTTGTGGGTTTAAGTACCCGTTGTAAGGCACTTTTTTCAGTGCTGTTGTAACTTTCAACACACTAAAGGAATGGTTGTAAGTCAAGGACTACATGTATAACCATAATGAAGGTTTGCTTGCAGAATGTTGTGTGTAATAATTGTCTCCAATTATTTATTTAGCACCTCCCTCCAGGTGCTAAATGTTTTGTTACCCAAACTTAGAACAAAGGGGTGGAATGGGACAACTTGCCATGGCCAGCTCACCCCAGCCATCTCTCTGCGTACAACTCATTGCAGAACAACTTGCCCTGGGACAATTCAATGGGGGATAACTCGAGAGAGGGACCAGTAGAATTGCAGCTCACCCCAGCCTCAAGGACTTCTCAGCTGGGAAGGTTCAATGCTAAAGCAAGACAAAGCCCGCTGCAATTCACTGCTCCCTCTCTTGAGTCATCCCCCATTGAATTGTCCTATGGCGTCCTGCACTGAGTTCGCACAGTGAGTTGTTCTAGACCGAGACCCTTGTAAAGGCAGAGGGCTCAACTACCAGGAGAAGCTTTTGATCCTCTGTCTAGTGTCAAAACTTTGTATTATGTACCAATATATTATATGCAACCTAAAAGAGGTTCCTTCTCCCTAAGGAGAGAGGGGCAAGCAAGGATCTTCTAAGGCCTCAAGCAAATTGGGCTTGGACTTTGGAGCTGGCTGGGAATTCTGGGAGTTGAAGTCCATGCATCTTAAAGGCACTAAGGTTAAGAAACATAGTGCTAGAACCTACAAAGGACAGATAATGATGTGTTATTGTTGCTGCTATTGATGATGATGATGATGTTTTGGCATTCAGAATTATCCAGGTATTCCTCAGAAGATGATGGTTACTGTAGGATGGAAGCAGCAAACGAACCTTCCTTGTGTTATCTAGTAAGTGACCCTTCTGTCCTTGGAAATTCCCTCTTGGATTAGTGGACGAAGAAATGGGGAAGCTCAGGGGAGGAGACCCACTTTAAGATAGCAGACTAGAAACCAAAGACAGTGAGTTCTACTCTTGCCTTGACCATGAGAGCTGGCTAGGTGACTTTGGGCTGGTCACTCTCTCTCAGCCTGACCCACAGAGTTGTTATGGGGGAAAAGAGTATGTTCTGACCTAAGCTTCCTGAGTCAGTGAAACACACGGGTAGTCCCAAAAACCTCTTTTATTGCAACAGCTGTGACTTCTGTTCATTCACAGATTGAGTCCCAAATAGTTGTAAAGAGTCCTTCAGGATAAGGCTGATAATCACCCACTTTTATCTCCCTTGACATGCTGCCAAAGACCTAATTAGCAAAGCCACATGGAGTCCAGAATCAAACAGCTTCTGACTTTAAACTGAACAGAATTAACAACGTTGCTTCCTGCAAAGGCCCACGTGCCTTTGCTCCTTTTTTAAGTCTTATGGGAGGAGCCAATCATCTCCAAACCCTACTCCCAAGTCGTCCCTTTTGTCTTAACTGTTCTTGCCTTCTGGCAGCTCTGCACATGTGCACACTGGGAAAGGCTCCCCCTTGCCTCACTGAGGTCTGACTTGAGGCTCCGGAGGCAGCACATACCACCCAGATGGTCCTTTCTCTGCCTCCGACACAGAGCCCTCGTCCGAGGCTTCCCCAGACTCTGGGACTGGCCCATGTTCCTCCCCAACCTCCTCACTATCCGACTCTGCTGCCAGCTCCGCAGGCCACACCAACAGAGTTGGAGGAAGGAGTATTAGGTATGTTAGCTGCCTTGAATTACTTTAAAATAATAAAGGCGGAATAAAAATCTGATAAAAAAATAAACAACTAACTAAAGGCAGAATTGGCACCGTTCTTTGTCTCTGAAGTTTGTTCAATTTATATCCCCAGGACCTACATCCTTAGTGCTCCCAACAGCCCTGGAAGGAGGCAGTACTGAGGGGGGATGTCCTCAGCAGAGGGCCTTCCCAGTCTTAATCCAGCCCTTAATGCCAGTAAAGCTTTTCCTGATAAGAAAAAAGATGGCCAAAGTGATTGGAAAATGCAGGCAGGGTTATGAACAAGGGACCAAACCCTTGTTCCCTCCTCCAGGTAAAATTCTGCCAGAATCTGAAGTATAAATAGAAATAAATAAAGACTCACAGAACACTTAAAATCTCTCTGTTTGTGGTGGAGTCCAGAAGTTCATCTGTGCTCCATTCATATAGTTTTATGAAGTCCAGATCTTCCCACAGCTGAATGAGAGGAAAATAGGAATAGTTGGAAGTCTTCCCTTAGGAAGCTACGCAGGGAAGAAAGCCAGGATTTCTGCTTCTGCCATTCCAGCGTTTTCCGCAACGGAGACCTACTGAGCCCCCCCTTCCGAATGGTCCTGGCCAGGAGCGCCCTGCAGGAATGGGGCATCGTCCTTGGGCGCTTGTCAGAAAAGGCAAACCTGTGCACTGGAGCGGTGAAGAAGTAAGTGCTGTCTGCGTTTTTTAAATTATTCTTGGCTATTTTTTGGGGGGGAGGGAGAAATCAAAGGCTCTGCTGCCTCCTTGCTAGCCCAGAACTAGGCTAGTCCAGCCCCCCCCAAGTTCTCTGGGTTAAGGTCTGGAGTGGGCTGCCTCCTGGGGGTCTCTCTGCACGGGGGTCCTGGCAATGAGCCAGCTGGGTATCATTGGGGGGAATTCTGCGCCCAGGGAGATTCCTTCACAATTGTGAGCTTTCTATGCCAAAAAGCAGCTTAGCTTTATATCTTTTTATCTGGGCTTTACTATTTTTACAAATAACTCAAGGCAGCGAACATATCCAACACACCTGCCTCCTCCTATTTTCCCCACATCAACCCTGTTAGGTGGGCTGGGCTGAGAGAGAGGGACTGGCCCAAAGTCACCCAGCCGACTTTCATTGCTGAGATAGGACTTGAACCACTTTCTAGTCTGGTGTCTTAACCACTAGATCAAACTGGCTCTATTTATACCACCTCAATTGTCACAGCTTCAAATTAAATAATTCCAGGTTTTTGGCAAAAGGACTGAGAGTCTGAAAAAGGAATCTCAGTTTCAGGGAAGGGAAAATCTGGTAAACAATACATTTGTTTTAAGGCAGATGCAATTCTTTTGATCGACATGTATGGTACAGTAACTTACTGTGAAAGCAGGCAGATCAGCTGAGGTGGCTGGGGCAAACTGGACCTTTCCTGCTCCCTCCAAAGCCCATCGCCAGAGCAGAAGCTCCTGGGATCAGCTGGGCTTTAGCAACACACCTCCCTCCCACAAAAGCTGGAGCCAAAAGAAAGAAAACCACCGGACGGCTTCAGGTTATGTCAGAAGTGTGGGTGAACAGGAAAAAAGCTCATTGGCAGAAACAGCCATCAGGGGTTCGGTTAACTAAGTTTTGCATAATAGTGGCTGTGGGAGCCAAGTCTACCTGCAAAACACAAAACAGAGGGGTCACTGGTTTTAGTTTACAAATGGGTTTTTCTGACCCAACGCTTCCTTGGTTTCCTCTTTGGTCTTTAAACAGGAGGAAATTTGTAGAAGGTGTCACTGCCTTTACAATTCTCTGGCTATGTTTTCCCAGAGGTTTTACATGGCCAAATAAAGCCCCAGCAGGTGCCTTTGCCCATGTGATGAACTTGCCTAGTGTTCATCTCGGTTGGTTTGTGATTCAGGGCTTGGGGAACCCAGCGTACAACTTACCGTGTTTCCCTGAAAATAAGACCCTGTCTTGTATTTTTTTGAACCCTGAAATAAGTGCTTGGCCTTATTGCCATGCGCTCAAAAACCCAGTTGGGCTTATTATCAGGGGATGTCTTATTTGGGGGGAAACAGGGTAATATAGTGCTCCAATTCAGCAATGGGTAAATTCAGTAATCTTGTTAAGGGTATATTCACATATAACTGTTTTGTATGTACATACAATTATGCTGCATAGTTCATCTTAAAGTTTGTCCAATTAAGCTCTCCATTTTAGGCAGCACCATGTAGGGTCTAAAAGCTGATAACCGTTGTGCTTCATATTTAAGTTCAGAATTACAGGAAATATAGAAATTTGTCTGTAAATTTTGTCCCGTGTACTTCAAAGAAGCTTTCTTTAAGATTGCTTCTCAACCTTGACAACTTTAATATGGGTGGACTTCAACTCCCAGAATTCCCCAGCCAGCCTTGCTCCTTCCTCAGATTCTTCCCACTTTTCATGAACTTGTTTCTGCTATGCTTTTCCTGCCAGGCTCTGCAAGCTGAATGGTGACCTCATCTCCCAGGGGGAGGAACTGGTGAACGGCGAATATTATGTGGCTGTGGGGCTGGAGAAATACAAAGATTTGCCTTATTTTGAACTACTGGTGCCTCCCAAAATCCCTCATCGTCCCTTTCGGTAGGCAACTGAAGTGCTTCTGCTTAGCTCAGCTTTTTCAGTTGGGGAAAGATTGATTTAAATAGCAGCCAATCTGGCACACGTCCAGATGGCTGAATCGATTTGACTAAAATGCAGCAGCAGGCTCCTTTGTGCAGAACAGAAAAAAAAGCAACGTTGTCCAAACACATTCTCCAAACACCCCTGTGCTTCCAATCTTCTCTTCCTTGTTTGGGAGAAACAAAATGAGATGTTGGGGAAACTTGGGAGCGGTCATAACTTGTGTTCTCTGAAAGTGAAACAGGGTCTACTGGTAAAAGAATATTTGGGGCTCAGGGTTGAACCATGGGGTCCTGGGTGCTCTCTGACCTTGCTTGTTTTCTTGCAGACGCTTCATTACTCAACTAGGTAACATCATTAGTGCTAGAAGGGAGGAGTGTCTTTTGCTGTCTTTTTATATTCCAGTGGGCTTGCCCTGTCAGAGACGGGAAAAAAAAAAAAAGAAAGAAAGCAAAAAGGCCAAAACACGCCCTTGCCAGCAATCAATACCCAGATAAACAGATCAACACCAAGTTTAATGCTAGACCAACAATCAAGAAGCAAACAATACCCCAATGAGGAATTGCCAAACAAACTAACAGTAAGCAACAGTGTCCCAAAGGTGCTTTTCCAAAAGGCAACTGGACCTTCTTGGTTTTTTCCTTGAAAACATTTTGCTTCTCATCTAAGAAGCTTTTCTAGTTTCAGTTCTTCTGTTTGTTGAATGAGAAGCAAAATGTTTTCAAGGAAACAAACCAAGAAGGTCCAGTTATTTTTTCGAAAAGCAACTTTGGGACTATGACCTGGATGATTGAGAAACTCCATAGACAAAAAACCGACAGTCTAACCAAGGAACTACCTAGAAGAGAGCCACACTCCCAGAGCAAGCCACTAGCACAGCGATGGCTACTCTTTTCCGGACCGAGTGCCCAAAGTGCGTCTGCGCACCTGAACACCCAAAATGCAATGCGTGCGTGGCCCCCACACATGCACCCTGACCTCTATGCATGCGTGCGCCCCACGCACATGCCCCCCATGCATGCGCGTGCGGCCCCACACAACGCCCCACCCCCCACATGCGCCCCATCCACCTTGCACACGCCCCACCCCTGTGCATGTGCACGTGGCCCCCTGCATGTGCCCCACCCCCCCGCACATGCACTGCAGAGACCCCACGGCCAGCTGGCCGGTGGGAGGTGCTCACGTATGCATGATGGAACTGAACTGGGGCAACAGCTCACATGCCCAGAGTGGGTGCTGCGTGCCAGAGGTTCGCCATCATGGCACTAGCACATAAAAAGAGAGCCAACCCCAGCTGAGAGGCAGGGTGTGCTGGGTCTACAGATTCTGAGTGTCAAGGTAGTCCAGGCTAAGAAACTAATCCCATGGAGGTGTCAACTGTTTTTACTGTAACAGCCATAGTAACAGGATCTTGCAAGTGTGAATATGCTCCCTTGCCCCTTCCTTTTCTCTTCAGAAGAACTAGAGAGGTTGTTGTCTGAGATGCTTTCTCAGGTCACACTCAGATTTCTCTTATCTGTTGTCTGGGTAGCAGCTCTCCTTCCTGTTCCTCAAGGTGATTCCTTCTGCCTGTCACCCTGCAAGGTATCTCAGTAAGGTAGGAAAAACATCTCCGGGTGCTGCGGATATGAATGTGCTGCTTTTCTGCTCATAGGAACTTTCCTTCTAACAGAAGAAGGATCTACAATCGGGGGGTAAGTAGCCACGATGACTGATTTCCTAAGGCCACCCCTGTCTGAAAAGGAGCAAAGATACTTTGCCTCTGGAGAAGATGTGTGACATGCAAATGTTCCTGTTAGATTTTTTAAAAATAAAATGTCTCCTGCTGTGTTTGGGGTTAACAGATGGGTCAGATATGGCCATGCCTCCTAGTGAGGGAAAATTCTTGTGGCTTGAGCTGAGCAGACTCTGAAAATTGTGGAGGAATTCCGCTCAAGTAGCTTCTTTTTTCCCCTCCTCCTAGGAGACCATGGAGCAGACATTCCACTTCTTGGACAAATCCCAGAGAAGAGGGTCCTTTTTCTTCCCCTTACTAGTAATACTGCCAATGGATGTGGTATTCATTAACGGGAACCAAATTAAAATGCTGTAATTGTTCCCTTAGAAGGCAAAAGGCTATTACTGGTCAAAATGTTTTTATTAAGTCTGGAGAGAAGCAGCATTCTGCAAAGCAAAGTGCCAGCCTCTGTCACTGCAAATGCCCCCAGGCCGCAAATGTAAACTAGAGTAGTCTCTGGCTCTATGTGCCCTTGCCCAGAAAAAGGGTAAAGTGAGGAGGGGTGGTAGCATGGAGCCTTTGGTGGAGGGAAGGAGGCAGGACACAGGCTAGTAAACAAGTGAGCGTCTGTTATTTTTCCTGTGTAGTGGTACCATGTTTCCCTGAAAATAAGACCCTGCCTTATATTTTTTTTGAATCCTGAAATAAGCGCTTGGTCTTATTGCCATGTGCTCAAAAACATGATTGGGGAGGTCTTATTTTGGGGGAAACAGGGTAGATGGGTTATGTGTGCATGGTAGCCGTTTGGTGAGAATGCCCTCTGCCTGTTCCAGAATTCCCCATAGGGGACCTGAGCTGTGCTGAAAGAAGAAAATTCACCTATAGTGGTCATTTGTCAGAGGGAGGGAAAGAATAAGGTGGCGAAATATTGAATCTTTATCCCTTGGAAGTCTTTGGGAGGTTGTGGGCTGATATGCTTCTTGATGTGTAGTGATCAGATTTTTTTCTTAAAAAAAAATAAAATGTGTACAACATTATTACATTTTACTCGTATTTCTCTAATGTCTTACCAGTTTTTGTTTTCGCATTAGTTAAGATCAGAATCAGCAAAATCTCACAATTTTATTTACCTGTTTAGTTATTATAACTTCTATTCTCTCCAGGTGGTCTGTGAAGACGGAGCCAGTGACTCGGCACTCCTTGAGCCAGCGCAACAGGTAAAGCGAATTGGGAGGGTTTAGTCTGCCAAACTTAAAACAAAAAGTTCAAGATTTTAATGTTTCATGTTGACTGAAAGTGGGATTCTATATTCTCAAATACCTCTAAATTATACATACATAAAACACTGAAGTTTCTGCAATAAAAACCTCATTTTATTTATTTATTTATTTATTTATTTATTTATTTATTTATTTATTTATTTATTTATTTATTTATTTATTTATTTATTTATTTATTAAATTTTTATACCGCCCCTTCTCCCGAAGGACTCGGGGCGGTGAACAGCCAAAATTAAAACATACAATACAAATATTAAAATGCAATTAAAAACAAAATTAAATTATCTTTGGCTTCTCCAATTTAAAACCCCTTACCCATAAAATACACCCAATTAAAATTTTTAACCCAGTCCGGCTTGCTGAAATAAAAAAGTCTTCAGGGCCCGGCGGAAGGTCCGGAGGTCCGGGATTAGTCGTATCCCTGGGGGTAGCTCATTCCAGAGGGCGGGTGCCCCCACAGAGAAGGCTCTTCCCCGGGGGGTCGCTAGCCGACATTGCCTGACAGATGGCACCCTGAGGAGACCCTCTCTGTGGGAGCGTGTTGGCCGGTGGGAGGTTATCGGAGGCAGAAGGTGGTCTCGTAAATAACCGGGTCCTAAGCCATGGAGCGCTTTGAAGATGAGAACCAGCACCTTGAAGCGCACTCGGAAGACCACTGGAAGCCAATGCAGCTCGCGCAGGAGAGGTGTCACGTGGGAGCGCCATGTCGCCCCCATAAGTACCCGCGCAGCCGCATTCTGCACCAGTTGGAGCCTCCGAGTGCTCCTCAAGGGGAGCCCCATGTAGAGAGCGTTGCAGTAGTCGAGGCGGGAAGTAACGAGGGCATGAGTGACTGTGCATAGGGAGTCCCGATCCAGAAAGGGGTGCAACTGGCGTATCAGGCGAACCTGATAGAAAGCCCCCCTGGCCACGGCCGTCATATGCTCTTCTAAAGACAGCCGTGCGTCCAGGAGGACACCCAAGTTACGCGCCCTCTCCGTGGGGGCCAATGTCTCGCCCCCAATAGTCAGCGATGGCACCATATTTTGAGGAATATATTTTTTTTTCTGCCACGATAAAAGTCTCAGTGTGCTAAATTCATGAATATTGTGGCCCACTTGTATGTACCGGAAAGCCCAAGCAAAGCCTTTCCTGCATCTTAAGACCTCCAGCTGATTGGTAGGAAATAAGGCGGAAACACTATTTCCTAAGACTTCGGAAGCAGGCTCTCTGATCAACCTTTGCCTAAAACCTTACACCCATCCTACTGTGCTGATTTGGGTTCAACTCGTAATTAGCAGCGGCATCTGCAGGAATTTGTGGGTGTCCAAAAAGTCAAGATAGCAGCTGCAATCACCTAATCAAAGTACCATCCTTTTAAAAAATACAATGCACATGAAAGGGCTTGGATTTTGTAGCCACAGCTGCCCTATGGACTTCTCCAAATATCCTGCTTTTTTCTTCTAATTAGTTTTATGAAAAAAAGATTTTACATTATCAACTGGGTCGTCACATTGCCAGCCTGATTTTAGGCTTTTTTGGCAGTTGTTAAGAGAATCACGGTTTTTAAGTTGATTTCTGGTTATTAAATAGACTCATTGTTCACAATGGACATTTTTTGCTGGAAATTAGAAGTAAACGTCAGTATGTGGCCAAAAAGTCAATTGTGGTTATGTGACTACTATACAGGATGCTGCAAATGGTTATAAATGCAGGTCAGTTGCTGAGTATCCGAAACACAATTGTGTGACTGTGGGGGAGGGGGGCAGTCATTGTAACTTCAAATCTGGGTCCTAAGTACCTGTTTTGGGGCCCATCGCAACTTCAAATGGTTGCTAAGCAGTTGGTCATAAGTTGAGGACTACCTGTAATAATAATTTAGCCTTTTACAAACTGTGGAGTCTTGTGAAAGTCAGACACTCTTCTTTGGGCCTCGTGGATTCAGGGCCTTAAAATCCCAAAGCGCTGGGCTAGAGCCTGTCCTGGGAAATCTCCCTAGAGCAAGTGTGGGGAAGCGGCTTCCCACCAAACAAGTCTTGGATTTCTTGCCGTCCTTCCTGGCCTGGATGGAGCTGGGGCGAGTTGAAATCTCGCAGCGCTGAGTGTGTGCCAGAGACTCCCCACTTTTTTGGCTATGGATCCAAAAGCAGGGGAGCTGCGGCACCTTTTCTGCAGGAAATTGGGTTTTTTTTGTTTTTGTTTTTGTATGAAAAGAGATGGAGGGGGGGGACTTTGAGAGAATGGAAATAGGAGCTGCTGATGTTTGGAGATGATTCAAACTGGCCAGGACTTACATCTGAAGGCCCTAATGAACATTCCTTGAACTTCCAGCTGAAACTTTGGCGGGTGCATTCCACAGGGATTGTGCCTGCAAGAGACCGTCCAAGTCCCTCTGAATCCAAGCCAGCCAAGAAATATCCTCACCAAGACAAAGTGACATCCATCTTCCATGCCAAGCCATGCCAGGTTGGACAAGTGAACCAGGTCCCTGGCAACTATTCTGCCCGAGGTAAAAAATAAATGGAAAAGGAGAAGCAGGCGTGTCTAGGCCTGAGAGACAGAGGGTGGACTATAACTGGTGAGGGTTCTATGGTGATGGTGGCTTTGGCCATGCTCCTTGTGAATCTAGCCCCTGCAGGGCATCAGGCTGCTCAACTCTGTTGACCAATGGGAGCGTCCAAGGAAATTGGGAAGGACGGGCTGAAGCAACAGGCCTCTGATTCTTCAGTCCAGGGTCCCTACGGAGTTTCAAGGCCCATCATTCTGGGCCAATTGGTCAGACATTTTTTCCAGAGGAAGCTGCCAAATGAATTTGTTAAACTGGCAGATTACACACACGGGATAATCTTTAATTATGATTAGAACATCTGACAGGCTGAGTTTGCACACAATGATACACTACAATGTGCTTGGCTCCCGTGTGGCTTGTGTAGAGCACATGGTGGCACCTGGTGGCCTCAGGTGTTTTTGGAGAAAACAAGGGAAGGTTGCGTTGTGTTAGTTTGAAGAACACAGGGAAGTCCAGGGCTTCCCAAATTTGGAGGACCAGAAAATTCTTGAAGAAGCCAGAGGCAAAATCCTTCTGTTTGGTAAAACAGGGTTAGGCAAAACCCTACCAGTTGTCCGCAGAGTCACTAGGGCTATGTTTCTCAATCTTGTCTACTTTAAGATGTGGGGACTTCAACTCTCAGAATTCCCCAGCCAGCTAAAGAATTCTGGCTGTTGAAGTCTTCCCATCTTGAACTGGCCAAGATTGAGAAACACAGGACTAGTGGCTCCAGGCCTGTGATGATGTCCGCAGCAGCTCACGAAAGCGAATGCCTGAAATGCTGGAAAAGGGCTAGCATAGACTCCACAGGGCTCTTCCCACAATGTCTTCAGTGAACCATGGCTTTGTTAATCATGGGCTGGTTTGTTTTGTAAACACAGGCAGGGCTTTCTTCTGCAGATCAGTCATAAAGGTATCAAAGCTAATTTTTAGCTACCGCCTGGGTCTGGAGCTTTCGCGCAAGGAGGGAAGGGCACGTTATTCACAAAGGATCTCATGTTGCCCTGTGTTTTATTTTTTTTCCAGAAAATGAAAGTGTTTATAAAAGGAGAGGGGCAAGGCAGGAGATGGTGGATGCGCAGGAAGTTGGAGAAGATGAAGACACGCAGGTTGAATTGCCTGTAGACCAGGTAGGAGGGTCTCTCAGTGCACGGATTCTAGACTCCTGGCATGCACAAGCAATCCGAATACAGAATAACAGAGTTGGAAGGGACTTGGGAAGTCATCTAGTCCACCCCCCTGCTCAAGCAGCAGATCCTATACCATTTCTGACAGGTGGCTGGCCAATCAGTCTCTTCTTGAAAGCTTCCAGTCATGAAGCTCCCACATCTTCTGAAGGCAACTTCTGTTCCATTGGCTGATTGTTCTCACTGTCGGAACATTTCTCCTTATTTCTAGGTTAAATCTCTCCTTGATCAGCTTCCATCCATTATTCCTTGTCTGGCCTTCAGGTGCTTTGGAAAATAGCTTGACCCCTTCCTCCTCAAATATTGGAACACTGCTATCATGTCTCCCCTGGTCCTTCCCTTCACTAGACTAGCCATGCCCAATCAATGCAACCGTTCATCATATGTTTTAGCCTCCAGTCCCTTAATCATCTCGTTGCTGTTCTGCATTCTTTCTAGAGTCTCAACATCTTTTTTATAGTGTGATGACCAAAACTGGATGCAGGTGTGCCCTTACTAAGGTTTTATAGAGTGGTATTAGTACCTCACGTGATCTTGATTGAATCCCTCTGTTAATGCAATTTAGGATTGCATTGGCTTTTTTGGCTGCCGCCACACACTGCTGGCTCATATCTCTCACCCAAAAGCAGGGGTGAGTGGCATTGGCAACTTTAAGATTTGTGAACCTCAACTCCCTGAATTCCCCAGCCAGTCTGGACACCCCTGCCCTGAGGAACTGCAATGGGTGTTCAGAGCTGCCCACAGGCCTGGAAATCTCTCTCTATCTTAGGACCTGGTCCAGTTTTGTGGCTTAATGTTTTCCTTTTGCTTAGAATTCTGTCGGAGACCCAACAAGGGGATTGGATCCCATGTATTTGACATCAAACGACAGCATCTTTCATTCAGCCCCCAGGACTTTCATGTTGCTATATGGATAGTTCTTGCGTTACAGCTATTCATTTAGCGACCATTTGAAGTTAGAGTGCACTGAAAAAAAGTGGCTTACGACCATGTCAGCATCCCCACAGTCACGTGATCAGAATTCAGGCACTTACGATGGTTGCAGTATCCTTGGCTCATGTGATTGACCTTTGTGACCTTCCCAGCTGGCTTCTCACAAGCAAAGTCAACGGGGGAAGCCAGATTCACTTAGTGATCATTTAACAAATGAAGTGATTTGCTTATCAACTGTGGCAAAAAGGTCGTAAAATTAGACATGACTCAGTGACCACCTTGCTTAGCGACAGAAATTCTGGTCCCAGTTGTGGTCGTAAGTCAAAGACTACCTGTACTGTGTTTGGGGGAGCTGGAAAGGCTGAAGGGCAAAATAGTGTTTCAGACCTGGGTACGTTGTCCAGTGCCTCACCTCCTTACCCAACTGCCCTGTGTTTCCTTGATTTGGGTGGCTTCAGGAGCAACATAGCTCCTCTGAATTGGTCCCCAAGACAGACGAAAAGCCATTGATTTGAAATGGATCTGGCACTTTCTAGGCTGCAAGACTCTCCTGGTTGCTGTACAGCTAGATGGTGTTTAGGGTCAGCCATGATTCCTGAAGCTTTGTGGATACTCAAAAGTTTATTGGTTGACAAGTAATGACAAGAGATTAGTCTCCACCTTCTCCCCGGATGTTTCTTTGTAACATATCTAATCTAATTTCAATTTTCCAATTTCCTGATAAACTCCCATTCAAGTGCTCAAACCAGGTTTTCTCCTATTTAGTTTGAGTTCAGCCAAAACATCTTCAAGGAAAAACAGAAGGGACACATTATAAGTTTATTTTTTCCTCCTGAAAGACTTCAGTTTTTCAATTGAATTGTACAGCTTATAGGTTATATTAAAGGTGGGAAAAAATTCTGAAGTGAGTTACCTTGGTCTGATTTTTTTACATCTCAAAAACCTGACATTTTAACAAGGGTGTGTAGAATTTTTATATCCACTGTAGAATACAATCACAGACTAACCATAGGAGCCGGATTGTCATAGTTTAAACTACAACTACAAATTTAAGATTAACATTATCAAAAGCACTTGAACTGACCTGCTTTGGTATACAAATGCAGCAGCGGTGAAATGCACTTAACTTTCGCTACCGGTTCAGAAATGTGAGTGCGCGCGCCTCTTCTGCTTATGCACAGAGGGTCAAAAATGGGATGTAATGACATCCTGGCAGTTGGGCGGAGTCTCCTGCTGCAGGCCCTACCGGTTCATGTGAGCTGGATAGATTCAGCAAGATTTCATTGCTGAAATGCAGCACCTGGAACATGATCCGGGGATCAAGTATTAATGGGGTAGGAGAGCTTAGTAACTTTGGAAAAGACTCTGCTTTCATCAAAGAAGTTCCCAGGGCTTTTCTCCCTGTGAAACTGTTTTCCCCAGATCTTTGTTGTCTTTGTAGCTAGTCACACTAGTTACTTGACTTCCTGCCTGGCAAGAATGGAAGATTCCCTTCTATAACTTTTTTAGTTGTGCTGGTTGACCACAAGGGCAGCCTTCTCTCATTGCCTTGAATGGACATGGCCTGAGTGCTTGTACCTTTCCCCCTTTTCCCCCAGAAAGCTGCAGAGATTGTGGAAGAGGAAGTTATATCAAAGACCAAAGGAGGGCCATCCACGAAGGTAATTAGCTTGTACTAATAAATATGTTAATCTAAGTGCTGGAGAGAAGAAAGAAGAATGGGGTTTACACAATTGATTCATTTTAGTTTACTGTAGGGAATGAATCTGCATTTATGTAAAAACAAGCCAGCTTAAAAGAAGGGCAGTCTCTGGGGTCTTTGGTACACTCTGAGCTTGGTTGCTTTCTTGCAGGTATTTCAGTGTCTGGCAAGGTAACGTCTTCACAGTATAGAAGGGAGCAGGTTTGTTTCTTGGTTCTATGCAATTTAAGCCAGTCTAAGGATTTTAACTCTGAGCTACACATAGTCTCTTCTACTCAAGTGCAATCTATTCAGGAGAAAACAAACCAGACATGGTGCACATGCCAGCACAAGCTCTTCTCCGAGATTGAGCAACGGCCTGCTCCCACATCACCTGGGAGCTCCTTCCCAGAGCGCTCTAAATACACATGTTCATCTGCCTTTGAAGTCAACAGACGTTCTGACATTTTCATTCCTTTTACAATGACAAGACTTTCTCCTCTTCGTAGTGCTTGTGAGTTTGCAGCCACCGAGGAGAAGCTCTCCTGGATCAGAGAAGTGCCTCTAATGAAACAGGCCCAGCAAGGTTTGCCAGAGGGAATATCTTTAACCAAATATGTGGTAGTTTTGTGCAATTTTTGTTTATAGAATTTATTCTTACAATAAATGTAGAAACTCCAGCTCCGGAGTCTCTCTGATTTGAATTTTTTTTTTTTTTTGCTTTAATTTATATGCCGCCCTTCTCCAGAGACTCAGGGCAGCTTACAATACGTTGAGCAATAGCCTTCATACTTTTGTATATTTATACAAAGTCATCTTATTGCCCGCACAATCTGGGTCCTCATTTCACCTACCTTTGAAAGGATGGAAGGCTGAGTCAACCTTGAGCCTGGTGAGATTTGAACTTGCAGTAATTGCAAGCAGCAGATGTTAATAATAGTTAATAACAGTGCTTTAGTCCACTGTACTACAGGTTTATATCAGAAATGCTTATCTGATACAAGATTTTGGTAAGGGGCCAGTGAGAGTGGGGGGGTCTGGGGGAGAAACAGGCATGGTGACCAAGAGCTGACAGAGAGAATGTCAGGGGAAAGAGAATGCCACTGCCTGCCTGCCCGCCCAGCGCCTTCACAGAAGGCCCGACCCTGGACCAAGCATCCTGCTACCATTGCCCCACTGGCCAGTGCCACTGGCCAGCGCCTCAATGGCTTAGCAGAGGCCCACCCCTCGGAGCCCCGATTGGCTGCTGGCAGGCATGTTGGCTTGTCCTTGAGGCAAATCAGTGGAGTACAATGATCCCTCAGCGAAGCACCTCTGACGGGGGGATGGAGGAGGTGGAGAGCCAGAGGTCCATCGGTGTCAGAGAAACATTGGCAGAGGTTCTGCTGAGTCTGAATGCTCACTGTGGCTGGAGGGCAGGGGTGAAGGCATGAACATTGGTGGAGGCGAAAAGTCCCATTCTGCCTACATGAACAAAAGGGCTTTAACGAAAAAAAATGAACCAGTGAAGAATAACTAGGTTCTAGGTAAGTTAAGCAGAAGGTTGGAATGGAAGAACAACTTTCTCCATTGCCACCAGCCTCCTCTCTTGGTTCAATTTCAGTGCTAGAGTGCAGCAATGCATGTGAATTGGATGCCCCACTGCACAGAAGGAGTGAGGGAAAAAGGCCCTGCACTCAGATTGATCATTAAAGTCTTATTTATCCCCCATGGGGGGGGGGAGGGGCAAAAACACTCAATTTTCAGCTCCGAGCTTTCCCTAAGGAGTTAGACAAAGGCGCATCTCAGATTTGGCGGTAGGACTCAATTCAGCCAGAACACTTTTTGTACATAGCTCAGATTTGGAAAAGAAACACGTATTCATATTCCTCAGTTTCTGGAAAGCCCAAAAGACACTCAATTTTCAGATCTGAGCTTTTCCTGAGGATTTAGACCAAACTTTATCTCAGAATTGGCGGTAGGGCTCAATTCAGCCAGAAAACTTTTGATAGATAGCTCAGATTTGGAAAAGAAACACATATTAATGTTCCTCAGGGTCTGGAAAGCGCAAAACACACTCAATTTCCAGTTCTGAGCTTTCCCTGAGGAGTTAGACCAAGCGGTATCACAGATTTGTCTATAGGTCTCAATTTAATCAGAAAACTTCACTTTTGTGACAGAGTTCAGATTTGGAAAAGAAACACATATTCATGTTCCCCAGGGTCTGGAAAGTCCAAGACACACTCAATTTTCAGATCTGAGCTTTCCCTGAGGAGTGAGACGAAGCTGTATGTCAGCCTCCGCCTTTATATTGCTTGCTCGGCTGCCATTGTAACGGGGGGGGGGAACTGTCTAGGAAGGTCTTGGACTCTGACTGGGTAGATCCCGGCTGGGTGACTGAGGCTGGTCTTGAGAATGTTACCTGGGATGAGTTCGACCCTGTGACTCCTGAGGACGTGGACAGGATCCTGGGGAGGTTAAACGCAACCACATGTTTATTGGACCTGTGCCCCTCCTGGCTGGTACTGGCCACCCGGGAGGTAACACGAGGCTGGCTCCAGAGGATCATAAATGCTTCTCTGAGAGAGGGTTTCTTGCCTCCCGCCTTGAAAGAGGCGGTGGTGAGGCCCCTCCTCAAGAAGCCTTCTCTGAACCCGGCCGTTTTGGCAAACTATCGTCCGGTCTCCAATCTTCGCTTTGTTGCGAAGGTTGTGGAGAGTGTGGTTGCGCGACAGCTCCCACAGTTCCTGGATGAAACCGTCTATCTAGATCCGTGCCAGTCCGGCTTCAGGCCTGGGTACAGCACGGAGACGGCATTGGTCGCATTGGTGGATGATCTCTGGAGGGCTCGGGACAGGGGTTGTTCCTCTGTTCTGGTCCTGTTAGACCTCTCAGCAGCTTTTGATACCATCGACCATGGTATCATGCTGCGCCGGCTGGAGGGACTGGGGGTGGGAGGCACCGTGTTGCGGTGGTTCTCCTCCTATCTCTCTGACCGGTCGCAGTCTGTGTTGGCAGGGGGGCAGAGGTTGACCTCGAGGCGCCTTGCTTGCGGGGTGCCGCAAGGGTCGGTCCTCTCGCCGCTCCTGTTCAACATTTATGTGAAGCCGCTGGGTGAGATCATCCGTGGTTTTGGGGTGCGATGCCATCTGTACGCTGATGACACTCAGCTGTACATTTCCACCCCAGACCACCCCAATGATGCCCTCGAAGTGATGTCCCAGTGTCTGGAGGCCGTGCGGGTCTGGATGGGGAGGAACAGGCTTCGGCTCAACCCTTCCAAGACCGAGTGGCTGTGGATGCCGGCGTCCCGGTATAGCCAGCTGGTGCCATCGCTGGCTATTGGGGGCGAGTCACTGACCCCCACAGAGGGGGCTCGCAACTTGGGCGTCCTCCTGGACACACGGCTGTCTTTAGAAGAGCATATGACGGCCGTGGCCAGGGGGGCTTTTTATCAGGTTCGCCTGATACGCCAGTTGCGCCCCTTTCTGGATCGGGACTCCTTGTGCACAGTCACTCATGCCCTTGTTACTTCCCGCCTCGACTACTGCAACGCTCTCTACATGGGGCTCCCCTTGAGGAGCACTCGGAGGCTCCAGCTGGTGCAGAATGCGGCCGCGCGGGTGATTATGGGAGCGACGTGGTGCTCCCACGTAACACCTCTTCTGCGCGAGCTGCATTGGCTCCCGGTGGTCTTCCGGGTGCGCTTTAAGGTGTTGGTTCTCATCTTTAAAGCGCTCCATGGCTTAGGGCCAGGGTATTTGCGAGACCGCCTGCTGCTACCGATAACCTCCCACCGGCCAATACGCTCTCACAGAGAGGGCCTCCTCGGGGTGCCGTCGGTCAGGCAATGTCGGCCGGCGGCCCCCAGGGGGCGAGCCTTTTCTGTGGGGGCACCCGCCCTGTGGAATGAGCTGCCTCCTGGAATACGATTGATCCCGGACCTCCGGACCTTCCGTAAAGCCCTGAAGACGTTTTTATTTCATCAAGCCGGCCTAGCCTAAATGGTTTTTTAATTGGGATTTTAAATTTTATGGATTTGGGGTTTTAAATTTGGGTAGCCAATGATTTAATTCTTTTAATTATCTTAACTTTTGCATTTGTATGTTTTTTAATTTTGGCTGTTCACCGCCCTGAGTCCCTTCTGGGAGAAGGGCGGTATACAAATTAAATTAATAATAATAATAATAATAATAATAATAATAATAATAATAATAATAATAATTGGGAGGGGGGAAGTGAGCTGGTGGAGTAAATTGGAGAAAGTTTTCCTCAGTGTTTCTCTGCAGCTGGGAGGCGTGCTGATAACCAGTCAAGGTCAATCGTTCTCCCATACCAGAAGGAGGGAGCCATTGGAAGCTGCACCGCACATGACCCCTTGGGGGAATGTGGATTAAATTATTTATTTATTTATTTATTTATTTTAATTAGATTTATATGCCGCCCTATCTCCATAGGACTCAGGGCGACTCACAACAATTAAGATATACAATCTCAATCCAAGTAAGAAACATGTTAAAATACATATTAAACGCATATTAAAATACATTAAAAATCAAAACCCCATCAGTCCAGGCTGGGCAATTTAAACAGCAATTAAATTAAGCAATTTAAATGGATAATCCTGACTGGACCATTAAGGGAGGGTTTTAAGGATGCTTCCTTTATGTGATTTTCGTGCCTATTGCCTCAGACCTTGCTTTTCTTTGGTTGCATTCAGTTCATATTCAGTAAAAGTACCTTTCTCTATGAAAATGAAGTCGGGGTTTTTCTTTCTTGAGTACTGAAAGGAGGCATACCTGACACTGTATCTCTGAATTGGCAGTAGGACTCAATGCAGACAGAAAACGTCACTTGACACAAAGTTCAGATTTGCTAAAGAAACATATTTATGTTCCCCAGGGTCTGGAATGTCCAAGACACACTCAATTTTCAGATCTGAGCTTTCCCTGAGGAGTGAGGCAAAACTGTATCTCAGAATTGGTGGTAGGATTCATTTCAGCCAGAACACTTTTGATGCATAGCTCAGATTTGGAAAAGAAACACATATTCATATTCCTCAGGGTCTGGAAAACCCAAAACACACTCATTTTCAGCTCCGAGCTTTTCTTGATGAGTTAGACGAAGGTGTATCTCAGAATTGACGGTAGGATTCAATTCAGCCAGAAATCTTCACTTTTGACACAGAGCTCAGATTTGGAAAAAAAACATATTCATGTCCCCCAGGGTCTTGGAAGCCCAAAATACACACAATTTTCAGGTCCAAGCTTTTCCTGAAGAGAAAGGCGTATCTCAGAGTTGGCGGTAGGACTCAATTCAGTGAGAAATCTTCACTTTTGACACAGAGCTCAGATTTGGAAAAGAAATGCATATTCATGTTCCCCAGGGTCTTGGAAGCCCAAAACACACTCAATTTTCAGCTCCGAGCTTTTCTTGACTAGTTAGACCAAGGCGTATCTCAGAATTGGCAGTAGGACTCAATTCAGCCAGAAAACGTCACTTTTGACACAGCTCAGATTTAAAAAAACAACACATATTCATGTTCCCCAGGGACTGGGAAGCCCAAAACACACTCAATTTTCAGATCTTAGCTTTCCCTGAGGAGTTAGACCAAGCTGTATCTCAGAATTGGTGGTAGGGCTGCATAAACAGAGGGATAGAATCAAGATCACGTGAACTTTTAATACCACTTTATAATGCC